TAACTTCGACGTTGTTTCTGTCTATGTTTAACCAGGTTAAATTTCGTCGTTCTGCGGAGTCTTTTCTGTTTAAGACAACTAACATGAGTAAAACTTGGACGCACTGAGGTGTACAAGTTTAACTTCGACGTTTCTCATTGGCTAAGATAAACTTCGACGTTGGAAATTCTGGGGTCCTGTTTTTACTTGCAATGTTGCAAGTACTTGTGCTATGATTCCTGTGGGGTGGCTGCGCGGAATCCAAGGTGCGGAGTTCTACGAACAACGTGCCTCCAAAGGGGGCCTGTTGATATCGGAAGCCACCAACATCAGCACAGAGTCCTGTGCATATCACCGGGCGCACGGCCCAGGGTCCCCAACACCATTTTACAGTTTTTGATTCTGAAAAAATGAGGCCCCCGGTATATGGACAGATGCGCAAGTCCTTGCCTGGCGACAAGTCACAGCAGCTGGCTTAGCACGTGGTAGACTGTGGCAGCTCGTTTGTGGACGTCGAAATTTTGCCGGATGTACCTGATCCAGGAAAAAGTGCACAGCAAAGGAGGACACATTTTTTGCCAGCGAGGGCCACGGTTGTGGGGCATTGCAGCTACGGGAAGTTCTGTTCGTGTAAAAAACTTGAGGTTGTGGCACACCGGTCGTGTTGGGCACCCTAGTCCCCAACTCAGTTTTGTGGATTGTGTTCTCACCACGGTTGCGTGCACACGAGGCTGGCAGCAGCATCCGCTGCTCAAAGCATCAGTTGGTGCCCCTATGCCATCAGTCAGCGCATCAGCAATAGCTATCCGGGGCAAAACCTGGAACGTGTACCCAGAGGCGTGAATTATGAATGCCACATCGCAACATAGGGGGCAGAAATGATTTAAATTTCAAGCAGGCTGCCGCAATGTTTGCCAGGGCCGCAAAGACCTAAATGCCACCCCACGAGCGCTTGAGACCTGTGAACTTGAAAGGGTGGTGTCAGATTACAGGCATGGAAACTGCTTGGAAACAGCTCGCACTTTATGTCCAGTATGACGTGGCAGCTGCTAGCATGTTGTGATCCAACACCGCCGTGATTGGTCGATGCATCTGTATTGCTGTCCTGCTGTGATCCACCAGGCATGCTGCCCGAAATGCGATGAGAGCTGGTTTTGATGGTGCCTCCTGGCACCGTACATGGTAAAATTTTCATTATCTTTATATACTGTACATTCATTTCTATATCTATATATGTACAGTTCCGTTTTTTCAGCAAGATGCCTTCGACCGTTTGCAGGTGTGGAAGTCCATGGCGCGCATGGCTACTTACTGGACCAGTTTTTCGGAGTTGCCATTTAAGCTTCCAACAAACGTAGGAACCTGCCCTCAGTCGCTGCCAGCTTCCTCGAAGAAACCTTAACCCTTCTGCGTTCTAGGTAGTTTCTACTTACGCTATTTGGGTTTGTATTTTTTGGGCGTGTACTTCCTGATGCCATAGTGGTGGGAAGTTCAACTTGAGCGATTCATGCCTTCGAATCATACCCCTGAATCATGCCCCTCAAAAGGGTGTGTTTTGGTTGAGTTTTGTGCCTTGTAGATGTCCAAGAACCAATGGTGCATGACGTTTGCAATTTTGTGATCCACGGGCACTCAATTTGGCCAAAATTGTTGGCCTTCTTCTGGGAAGTGCAAAGGCTCACGTCGCAGGGGTGCCAATGTTCCCATGAGCTCTCCCTGGGAAGAAAGGCCAAAGGATCGGCTTTTTTTGAAGAGTTCAGTGGCCATACGAACCACACCCGTTAATGCCCGATTCATACCCGAATCACGCGCATCCACACAGCCTCCCACCCATCCCAATATAGTGGTTGTTGCCGTGGGGCTTGCAGAGGGCCACTGGAGGGTGGTGTCTTTGGTGAGGCTTGGGGGCCTAGGCCTAGGCGCAGAAGTGGCCGAGTGGTGGAAGTCCAGCCAATCCAACAATACTACAATTGCAAATGTGCGAATGATACCCCGAAAGCATACCCCTGAATCATACACCACATCATACCTACCACGTATTCAAACTTCCCGGCCCGATTGCAGCAAAAAATTGCACACCAGACTACCCGGTTGCCAGTAGCTAATTGCTATAGCCCACCCTTCGGGTTTCCGCATCCTGACCAATGCTCGTCAACGTTGGGAGGTTTCTGTGGTCTGTGGTCGTGTGAATTCGTGGCGTGAGGTTTCTTCGAACTGGGACCAACAAGAGGACTGAGCCGTGGCTCGAAAGCATGCCTTTTGCATCACGAAATCAAAACAGTTGTTGTCGCTTGGTACGTACGGTCTTTTGGTTTTGTGTTTGCTGGCCCTGGTGTCCCAACACAAATTTTGTGTTATGCAGCAATGCAAGTCTGTTTGGTCTTTTTGTTATTTCTTTTTGAGTTCTGGTTCGTGCTAGCACGCCGGAAAAATACAACGTTCCATTGAAGGGGACGGTTTCTGAAAGGAGTTGTTGCGATTCTGGTTGTCCCCACCTCTCTAGCTCTTCAACTGTAAGCTTGAACCTAGCAGCTAAAGCCAAGCAAAGACCTGTGTTGGTGGAAGTGTGGTGGTAGTGGTGCAAGTGTGGCACCTGCCTCGGAAATGGGCGGTTTGACATCCACAAAATATTGCGCCTGCCACAAAACCAGTGCTCGGAGGTTTGACAGTAGACTCTGGGTTTTGCAAAGTCACAAAACTTAGATTGAGTGCGCGCCTGAGGACGGCTATGGTGGAACTCCTGAAAACCGATGCAGAAATTTGCCTGCAAATGTGAAACAGCCAGGCAACTTATTTGCGGTGATTCTTCCTGCTATTCTGAGGACTTCTTTTGGAGGTTGTTGCGGCTGTTTCAGAGGAGGTGGGTCCTGGACGCGTGGCCGTGCGTTTGTCTCCGACGCAACCGGGCGCTTTTGATTTCTTCGGAGCCAGCGATGACGCTTCGTTGCAAATAACAGCGGGTTCCCTAACAAAGAGCATCGTGTCACCTATCAATGACTTTCCGGCTGGTCTTGGCTCAATTTTCATGGCCGCGTCACACTGTACCCAAGACACACTTGGAATTACATACTTAGAGTGTATGTTCCTACCCACACAGGTGGCATCAAAGACTAAGTTCGATCACACCGATGGAGACAGTGGAGACTTCTGAGGAGAATCAGATGGATGCGGATGGCTGCAATGTAACGTATCGCTACGACGCTTGCTTTCATATGGCTTTGTATACATGCCATGACTTGCTTGGTTTATTTCGGGTTGAGGTTTTTGTTTTTGTATTGTTTTGTGTTCTTTGTAGCCGCCACGACAGGTGACAACTTAGGCCATCGAGCGACTAAATGGTCTACCCCTCGCCTATTTGTTGTTGACGGAGCCGCGATGGTCTGGGGGCCGCCATGATGATGATGCGGAAAAGGAGCCATTATTCATGACATGTCATCGGAGTGGGAGTTGCTCCTTACCTTTCAGGACCCGGGTTTCAATATGCCGGTGACAAACTCCATGACGTACAGGAAGATCTACAAGGGTGTTTTGATGGCTGCAGGCCGTATGCGCTTAGTCGATTAATGTCGATTGCAGTTGGTGCAAGCTCTTGATCACTGGATTGAATGTGGGACTCACCCCGGCAAGTCTGCTGATGCGTAGTGCGAGGTCGTCTAGCTGGTTTTGAACCGTTTTTCCTTCAAGGAAGGGCTCGCGAGGAGTGAGACGCAGTGTCCGCAATTTCGATCCCCCAACAGGTGGCTTTCTTCCTTCTACAGCCTCCGAGCATGTGGGCAACTGTTTTGATTTGGTAGCGTTTGGCCGATGGTTCTTAGCGAACCCAGATTTGCCGCTGCGCATCCAGGCTGGGACGGCAGTTATGAGAGATGTTCAGATGTGGGCATGGTAGTATGGATGTGGATGTTGGTTTGCACATGACTTGATCTTCATATATAGACTGTGACCTTTCAGTGTGGCACTCACACGCAGATGCACGGATGAACACACAAATGTAATCAATGGATCGAGGTTTTGCTATGTTTTGCTTGTGCTGCGGGTGCTGCTGCCACAGGTTGGAGCTCCTTTGAATCATTATAGCCGAGAGCGCTTCTACACCCACGAGGCTCATTCGTCAGACTCATGAGTTTCATTACATTTACATGCATGAATATCATAATATGCAGACAGTTCCCATTCACAGCAGATTGTTATTCAAACTGCTGACTGACTGGGCCAGGACTTTTTGAAAAAAATCATGGGAAGCGTTTCTTCTCTTTCAAGTCCACAGCTCCCCTAAGAAGCGTTTCTCTGTTCTGAGTCCGGCTTTGTCAACCGCCTTGCAGAGATGGCTTCGTGATGCTTTGTGAACGCGTACCGTGTAAGGAGGATGGATATGTGGACTATCCTGACATGACCGGTTCCTTTGGCAAAGCTGGCAAGTACTCCTTGATTGATGTATCGCTTTTGAAGACAAAGCCGAAGGCAAGGCTTTGAGGCCATAGGATGTTTAGAGCTTGCCCAACGTGTGGCCGAAGTCAAAAGTTGGCACGCTTTGCCTTCGCAGAGGTGAATCAATCGTTGCTGTGCCCCCACCTTGGCAGTTCTTTTGTTAAGCATAGTTTAACGTGAAATGCAAACCTATGCATCAATCTTCATTTCAAGTCACCACAACCAGTACGACCTGTGTCCGTCATGGGATCCGGTCTCATCTCATTTGCCAGATCCCCGTTGAACGTTTGCATTGTTATCCTCGAAGGGGCCTTTAATCCAAACACTTACCCGCAGGGACTTTCCCTGGTTTACTTGATTGTATATAGCTCCATTATTGCTTGCTCCAGCTTCGTACAAGTGGACAGCATGCAAACATCCAGCGCAAATTAGGTGTTGTTAGACAAGTGCAACGCTGACATGGGCATCGTAAAGGACAGCAGTCGAAAACGGATCCGCTATCAGAAGGCTTCTCTCAAGAAGTTGGCATGCAATTGGCGTGGTATTGAGTTATCACAATCGGAGCTCAACTGCAGAGATTCGCCTGGCCAACCCCCAAACTTGCGCGCGTTGCACCACGAACCGCTATGCTACAGCTGCTATGGGTTTTCATTCTCGTTGGCTCAACGTCTGGTGCTGATTGGAGCGTGACAGATGGGCAACTTGGGCTTTAGCGTAATGTGTTGTAGCCCTGGTTCGCTCGCTTGTCAGGCCTTGTGGAACACAAGCGCCGCTTGTTGGACATCTTGACAGTTCAGTTGTCCAGGAAAAAAGGTGATTGTTGTGGAGTGGTTGATATGGGTTTTGTGCGGTCGCAGGTGTTGTGGTTTTGTTATCCTGTCCAAACCGCTTTATTCAATTGCATTCCAAACTCTTGAATCTACGTCGTGTTGTGTGGCGGGTTAAGGGCAGATTGTGCGACCAACCGCGGCAGCAGTAATGTTTTATTCAGCATGATGCCTCATTTTTCTTCAAGGTGGCCAAGCCCAGACAGTAGCGCCCAAGGAATTGTCAAGTTGATGACGAAGGATGTCTCCACAGTCCTCGCTATCCTTCGAACTACCGAAACAACCAGAACTGTGAAATCGACGTGGCCGAGGGCAATGCAAAGTCGATTGTAGTTGCTGCCTTCAAGACAGAAGCAGGCTATGATCTTTTGGAGGTGAATGGGGAGGAGTACAGTGGGACTTCAGGCCCTGACAATGTCATTCCAACTGGGACCATTCGATGGAGCACAGTGACTTGAGATGCACAGAATACAGAGATAGATGATGATATAGATGATGATGATGATGATGATGATGGTGATGATGATGATGATGATAAGGGCCACTAGCTATCAGGCCCTATTCCTTCAACAGGAACGGGCTAGTGAGGACCCCCCCTTTCGTTCATGGTCAGCCTGGCTTTCCTGCTCACCGGGATTCTGGAGATCCTCTTCTACCGGCACTACGCCCGGCTTCCTGCAGGACTTCTCCAAGAACATCACTTTGAGGCTGCTCCAGGGAAGGGCACGGTCATCTTGCTTGCGGTCTCCTTCCTCCTGGCAACTTCCTTCTTTCTCCTCCAGGGGTTTGAGAACTACCAGAACACGCCTACCTTGAGAGGACATCGATTCTGGAGGAAGAGAACCGCATCCCAGGTCCTTGCACCTTCGACAGAAGCTAGCTGGGGTCCCAAGTCCCCAGCCAGGGCTGGCATACACCTCCTCCTCCTCGGCAGCCTCTTTGGGCTCTTCCTCGAGGACTACAAGACAAAGCTCAATGCCAACGCCATGCCCTGGTGGCCCGAGGGTTCCGGACCTGCCACATGGTCCGGTGAAGCCAACAAGACCTTTGCCATTCAGCAAACCAACACGGCAAAGCCAAGTGGCCTTGGATCCACACACCAACGTCTGGACAGTTGCCAGCACTTTCCCAAGAAGAAATCCTACATTCGTGCACTCAAGCGGGCCCAACTTCACGGGCACACATGGTACAAAGGGAAGCTCTATACGGCCCAGATGCTTGGAGTCACTCCACTTCCCTGGCAGGTCACTGAAACTCCAAAGACTTCCTTGGGACCACCCAACTCCTCACCACCTGCCAAACTACGGAAGAACAGGCTTCAAGGACTCAGCTGGAACATCGGCTCCCTGGGCACCTACAAATTTGACATCCTCCGGCAATGGCTGCATCAACAGCAACTTGATCTAATTCAACTTCAAGACACACGGTGGGGCTTCACAGGTGATTGGACTGACAACACCTTTGCCTATATCCACAGTGGATCTCAAGATCGAGCAGGAGGGCTTCTGACCATCATCCGGAAGGCCTTCTGCCCTCCAGATCGGCTCTCCTGGAGGGAGGTTACTCCAGGGCGGCTTCTGCATGCCCGGCTCTACCTTGAATCCACGGGCCTTGACCTGGTCAACTTCTACCAGCATCCATGGACTGGATCTGACCAGCAATGCAGGGACAAACGCTCCGGACTTCTGGGCGCCTTGGATGGCCTATTGGCAGGTCTTCCTCAACGGAATGTGGCCATCCTAGCCGGTGACTTCAATAGCAGCTTGCCTCGGACCCCGCACTGTGTCGGACTACATGACTTCCAAGGCCGACGAGGGCGACTTTCTGGCACTCAACACCAGGATGCACATCTCTTGGCTGACATTCTACCCAGGCGGGGGCTCCTGGCCATCAACACCTGGGACACCTCGCTTGGTCCCACCTATCGGGGCGGCCTGGGGCATCTATCTCGGATTGACTATGTCATGGTCCGACACAAAACCAGTGACTCCATCACGAAGAAACCTATCTACCTGGAACACCTCCCAGGCAAGTTTGGTCACATAAAGGATCATGTGCCGATTCTGTTCAATCTTCCCTACAAATGGCGGGGGTGGAAGCCACCTCCCTCGGGCCTGAACAGGATCCAACAAGATCTTCTTCAACGGCACTGGCACCTTCAGAGTATGGATTGGCACCACTGGTGTCAGGACCTTGGCAACCGGATTGACAATCTTCGGGATCAAACACCAAATCTGGAGGCTCTCAACCAGGTCCTGATGGATGCGTGTGTTTCTTTCCAGCCTTCTGGGCGGTCTGACAAACCTTCAACCACCAACTATTGGTCCTGGGCCTCTACACTATCCCGGCTACATCTTCCTGAAGTCGCTCAGCGGGCTCACCACTCATCCAGGCAGGAGCAAATCTTTGGCTCTTGGCTTCGAGTGACTCGGATTCAAAGATGGCGGAGGGCGGCCACCAAATCGGCCAGGGAAGCGAAAAAACTGAAACTTCAGGACACCATTGATACCGCCAGGCACCACTGGTCCACCAACGACACCCGACGCTACTTCAAGGTGGTCAACTCCCTGACGCCCAAACATCGACCCCCACGTCCTCAACTTCGAAATCATGAGGGTATGCTCATGTCCCCTGAAGACGAACTGAGGTGGATTCTTGACTACATGGAAGGGGTTTATGCGGGGACTGACCTGCCAGGAGTCAACTTTCACCTTCATGCACTGCCTTTTGGACCAGGTGACATCACACACTCACTGCGCTCCTTGTATGGACACACCAGTGTCCCTGCGCACGTGGCGCCCAGCTTCAAATCCATGGCTGAGGAACTGGGCAGCTTGCTCTACTCCTGGCTATCCCAATGGCTGGCTGCAGGCCACATCCCCCGGGAATGGCGGACAGGATGGGTAGTTCTCCTTCCCAAGCCCAACAAGAAGGTCATTGAACCTAAAGCTCTGCGACCCATTGCCTTGCAAACACCTCTTTCGAAGACCATCATGTCCATGTTTGTTCACGAGGCCAAAAAACATACTCTTCGTGCTCTCACATGGTTTCCGCAATTTGCCTATTTGCCTGGGAGAGGCACTTGGGAAGCCATCTCCCGTGTCCAAGCTCATGCCAGGGCAGTACAAGCACTTCATCACAAATGGCGATATGAGGCTGGCAAAGTACAGGCACCTGGGGAGAAAAAACCTCCGGTCTTTGGCGGATGTCAACTTTTTCTTGACATGACGGGCGCCTTTGATGCAATGCCCAGAGAACACCTGCAAGAGGCCTTTAACCTCCTTGGTCTTCCCCAAGATCTCTCAGCTCTTCTGTTGTGTTGGCACACAGAAACTTCCTACATTGTTCAATGGAAAGGACTCTCTGCCGTTCAACCCACTCATAGAGGTGTGAGACAAGGCTGCAGAGGTGCTCCCTTCTTTTGGGCATGCTTCATAGCACTGGCACTTGAACGTGTGGCGGCGGAGACCTCTACCAATTGGATGAGGGAATGCTGCACCTTTTATGCCGATGACGGGCATGCCTGCTTTATATTTCATGATTTTGACGAACTTCACTTTGGGTTGGTTTGTTTTGGGAAGCTGATCACCATTCTGGAACAGCTGGGCATGACCGTGAATATGCACAAGTCTGCAGTTGTCGTCCGCTGGGGTGGCACAAAACACCAACAAGCGCGGAAGCTGTATGTGAAAAGGAAGCTGGATCATCAAGCGCTCCGCATTCCAAAAGATGATGACACATTTCATGAAATTCCAATCAAAGAGAAGCACGAACATCTTGGTATTCAGATGGGATATTTTAATTTTCAGCGTGATACGATGAAGGCCAGACTTCAAGCAAGCAAACTTCGATTCAAACAAATGCATCGTTGGTTTTCCAAGAACTCCATGCACGCGGCACAGAAGGTGGCTCTTTGGCAAACATGCATTCTTCCTATAGGGATCTATGGACTTGATGCAACAGGTACTGACAGCACCAATATTCCCATTTTCTCCAAGGCCATGACCACGATGCTGAGACAAGCAGCAGGAGATCACTCATTTCAGACTCACAAGTCACATCATGCCTTTTTTCTTGAGCACCACCTGCAACACCCGGTTGCTGTGCTGCGGGGGCGGATGGCCTCTCAACTACACCGACACGAGGCAAGACTTGTTCAACTGCATGAGATGGACGTTCTTCACACTTTGGACATGGACTCCCTTCGATGCTCAATCAATCTTGTTGACACATGGCTGCAGGAACTCAGCACATCAGAACCGGGCAATTCTCTTCCTCTCGCAGAGGCAGGACTGGAATGTTACACCTGTGGGCTTATGTTTCGTCACTACTACACGCTCAAAAGACATGAAACATTTTCGCATGGGATTCTTCACACCAACGGTCCTCCACTGGATATTGGTAGAGACTCGATTGATGGCAGACCAACCTGCAGACATTGTGGAGAACATTTCATTAGCTGGCAGAACTTCCGACATCACATCTCCTCGTTTGCATGTACCAACTTCGATCCAACCAAGGCACCTCCGGAACAACTTCATGCCTTCCGGACTCGGCTGCTGGACTACTATGATGGAGGAGACCTGGAACCACTGGTTAGAGATCGTCCGCTCTGCTACTTTCTTTCCCAGCGATGTATACTTTGTGGATTTTGGTCCTCGAGACTTCAGCAAATGTCTGCGCACATGGGGAGAGATCATGGGGACATCTATGCTCTCATGGGGGACGTTCTCCCCAATGTGGTGAGGGCTCGTGCCTCCTCTCCATGCGAACTTTGTGAACAAACCTTTCGGAGCAGGACCCAAACATGTCCAGTGAAGAAGCAGCTGGGCCTAGCCTTGGCCTACCGGAAGCACCGGGAGCAATTCCCGGCAAGCCCTCCTCCTGTTCCACAACCTCCTCAAAGGATGGAAGCCCAATTCTCCTGTGGACTTTGTCCTCGGAAGTTTGTGACCGCGGCAGGCCTTCAACAGCATCAGGTCTTGGATCATACCCACTCTACGACGACTAGGACCTTTGTGGCTGGCAGAGATCAAGTACCTGGGCAGACTCAATGTGCACATTGTCACTCCAAGTTCCTGAGTCTGGCTGCTCTACGGCACCACATAGATGGAGGACACTGCTCCACTCCACCTGACGACGACCCGCCCCTCCTGTGGCATCATCCGCTGATCATCTCCGGACTTCATGGCGGGACCTTTGACCATCTCATGGCCTACAAATCCCTGATTCGGCGACTTGGGTACATCTGCGGACTTTGTGGACATCAGTCTGGGAGCTCAGTTTCCTTGCTGAAACACCTGGGGAACCATCACAATGAGCACTGGCCTCAAGCCACCACCTATGCGGAATGGCTTCAAACGGATAGTGCCTTGCGGAACCTGGGTTGCTCCTGCCTTCGGCCGCCTACAACACCACATGTCTGCACAGTCTTCACACAGCTGGCCCTCTTTGTCCACCATGACTTGACCAGACTTCATGGAGGCAGTGATGAATTGATCCTGTCCTATGCTCTTCGGCTTGATCTTCAAGTTTTGAGCCCTACCATCTCGCTCTCCTTCCCTGACATGGACAGCAAACTTGCTACTGGCCTCTTTGCAGAGCTCATTGAGGATGACACGCTTTGCACAGCCCTTAGCACCTGGTGTTGTCTGTGCGGGAGGCAGATTGATCCACGTGACATGCTCCAACACCTGTGGAATCAACATGCCAAACACGCCAACAGGGGCAGTTTGTTTTACAAGTACCTCACCATGTTTCAAGTGAAGCAATCAACCTGCTCCATTTGCAAGGGTCATCCCACCGCAGCTCAGTGCCCGATTCTCCTGCAATTGGCCTCACTGCTTGCCATCCTTCATCATGGACATGGAGACGGGGGAAGTCTCCGAGATGTGGGGAGCACTGAACCAATGGGTCAAGATGGAGGTCGACGAGGAGAAGAGTGCCAAGAGGCCCCGATCCATCACGTCGAATGGAGGGAAGGGGCAGGGAAAAGGAAAAGGAAGAAAAGGCCAGGTGAAGAACCAGATCACCAATGGCGAGTCCACACCCAACACAAACAACCTGCTGCAGGTCCTGAGCAGGCTAGTGCTAAGGCACGAAGACACCCTCCAGTGTCTGGCCACGGAGACGGACTTCTTCGTTTTTTTGAGCGCGGGCCCAGGGTCCATCCTACCTTGCATGATGACTCAGACCACAACTTGGCATCAGACACCTCAAAGCGAGAGGACACACCCCTTGAGGATCCTGGTTCTGAAGGCGCTGCTGGAAGAATTGGTGAAGAGGGCTCAGAAACTTCAATCCACGGCCTCCTCCGATCCCTCGATCCAAACATTGCAACGCCTGGGATTCCTGAAGATCGATCCGGAGAATGGGAACAACTACTTTTTCCCAAGGATGAAGTGGGATCATCAGAAGCAGGCGATGGAAGCCCAAGAGGATGCTCCTCTCACAGTCCAGCAGGCTCTGCACACCCTAGCACGGATGCTCACTCTCTTGCAACAGGAGGACCTGATCAAGCGCTTTGGGGCACTGCGCCCGGCACAACAGATTCAGAAAGTCATGACCACGGACACAGACAAGCCCTCCGCAGTGATTCCATGGCGGGTCACCTTGGCCTTGACCAACTCACACTCCACAGAGATGAGGGGGCTTTGGCACCAGCTCAGCCACTCCGGACTTTGGCAACTGATCTTGGGGAGAATGAGACCCGCGACCCAGCACAGGACTCCTCTGGCTCAACATCTGGGCAAACTGCTTGGGGACCTCTGATTAAACCTGGTCAGGCACCACTGAGGCCACTGACGAATCCGGCATCAGCTTGCTACATGAACTCGGTGGTCACGGGATTGGTGTGGAGTGCTCAATGGGCAGGAGGCTTGAGTGAGGACCACTGGTCCAACTTTCCGAGGGTCTTTGAGACCATTGCAGATGTGTCACCAGAGGGAGCACCACTTCTATTGTGGGCAGATGGGCAATGGACCACCTTACTTTCCACGTGGCCGGAACCTTTTAGACAACATGATGTCATTGATTTTGCTCATCACCTCCCCAACTTTCTCAGTTGTTGTTGGGAATCCCGGCTGGAACAGGATGGGGAAATCCGTGTGGTGGATCAAAGTGCCCTGGGGTGCCCTTTGCACCTATACATCTGCAGTGAGCAAAAGAATGGACTGCTGCCCACCGATCTGCAAGGTTTGATCTCCAACTGGAGCCTGGCATCTTTCGGTCTCCATGGGTTGACAGAACCTGCAGACGTCACATGCCTTCACATCGATCGCTTCGACTCGAGGGGCAAGAAAAATCGAACCAGACTCAGCTGGGATTCTAAGGTGTGGTTGCCCTTCTTCTACAACAACAAGCTTGGCATCGACCACATTCCATTTGTGGTCACGGCAGTATCCTATCATTTGGGATCGGAGCCCACCTGTGGACACTATTGCACGGCGGTCCTGGCGGGTGGCTTCTGGTGGGTCTTCGACGACGGCTCCGTGCCGGAGAAGTTCGACCGAATCCCAACTGTGATTCAGGAGAACTGCTGTCTTCTATGGCTCAACTGCACACCGCATGGGGGCGCAGAACCAGTTTCAAATCTGACGGAGGAATCTCCAATTCTCTCTGAGGAGGAGAAGCTTGCGAACATCATTCATGACCCCTCCATCAATGATGACTGGCACCACAAATGGCTCCAGGCCATTGACAGGCTTGATGCTGACATCCTGGTGGCCCACCCGGGACTATGTCATCGGCTGGTGAAGAAGTGCGTCATCTGCCAAAGTTGGCCTCGTGACATGAATGCGCACCTTGAAGTGGCACATCGAGAACTTTGGGAAGCATCCCAACCGACTGCAGAGAAGTGTGGAGCAGCCTTCAGCGCGAAAGCTCATCCTACTCGGTGGTGCGCTTGCCAGCCCTACTACACCACTGAGCTGACTGAGGACCATCCGTGTCCCTGCCTTCGCCAATTTGGCATTTTGCACCTAGCTCTACGCCGGAGTCAACCAGCCCAAGCCAGAACAAATCTGGCTCGCTTGCTTGACATGACCTTCAGCTGAAAGCTGGAGCTGGTTGTCCCTACGGGGACCAGGCGGATCAAAAGGATCCACGCCATCATCACTCGATGAGCGTATGGAAAGAAAGATGATGATGATGATGATGATGATCGATGTGTCTTGTGCATTTGCTAAGTTTTTGGTCTTGAGGACTATTCCGTGATAGCCAGTGGCTGGAAGCTATGCCTGCAGGACGGCCTTCAGTGGCTGTATTTGAGGCGGCGCAAAGGCAAGCATGAAGAGATTGCGCCCGCGACGCCAAAGTGGGGACAAGCATGAAGAGATCGCATCCTGGGTATGCTAGATATGATAGACTCACACAGCCATGCGCGCATGTATAAACCACCACCACTTTATCAGAGTCACCTGCTGGCAAATTGGAAATCAAGAAGCCTTTGGCATCGCCATATTCCTTTGTGCAATGTGTTTGGAGTGGATTGTAAAGAGGCAGTCTCAAAAAGTTTCAAGCTTGAGACCCATCATGATGAACTTATCAAGCCCGCAGGGCACATAGCGTGTCAATGACTCGACCTGGGCTGCTGGATGTGTCAGTCGGATGTTTGTATATAAATGATGTTGTAAAAATGAGATGCTAGAGGAGCCTGTGCAGATGCAGGCAGAAAACCACAAGCATTCAGCAAGTTGACCAGTGCAAGCCAAATTGCACAGCAACTCGCACACATGTATGGTTTGGAGGACATATGTGTGGAAAAGATGACGGGAAATGGCGAAGACTACCGTGGATGCCAGGCATCAACAAGGTGGGACAGAGGCTTTCTAAACGCAGTGTTCATTGTCATTTCATGAGAGAAATCGCCGCTCCGTGCAGAAGCGGCACAGCTTGCCAACGCTGGGACTCGAATAGCCCTCACCTTGTGGGACTCTACACATCCTCCAACTATCCAAGTTCTGACTTGACTGAGAACTACTGCCGCAACCCTGGGGGAAGTGGAGACACGATACTTGGCACCGCTTCAGATTGATTTAGCCGTTAGTCGTTAGCATCCCTCCCCCTACTGTAAACGGAAGGTGGATGCCTTGGTCTCATCGTGCCAAGGATTTGGTGCTTCACTTCTGACCCTGATGTGCGGTGGGACTACTGCGATCACTTGCGACTTTGGACTGTCCAAGGTAGCTGCGAAGCAGATCTGACTTGCAGCCGGAGTTCCATTGCTGCAAGAGAAGCCTGTTAAGGAGGGGAGTGTGTAAAGGGCCACAGATGCAATCCACCAGAAGGCTCTCATGTTCAAGCGGCAGTTTTGTGACGGGTGCGATCGGAAAGCAAGTTCGGGAGAAATCAAGCACATTTATGAGATGCTACTAGGAACAAGTGCATCGCTACTAGTAACAGGTGCCACGCTACTAGGAACAAGAAACTATCAAAACAATAAGCTACTAGGAACAAGTGCAAAAGGGGGATTGTGAGGTTCGTTTGTTTGTGTGTTGCCTGTCATTTTTGCATTTCTGTATATATTCAGCATCTATCCTTGGTGTTGATATCTTCAAACTTGTCCCATGGGCCTGTGGGGATTCCAGGCGCCCCGAACCGACCCTTGCACCTGCATCCGGCTGTGCCTTTGCTGCCTTCTTTTGCCGGTCCTGTTTTCTTCACTAGCCCTATGTTCACTCTTTGCCTCCCAATCTAGTTCCCTCGAAGTTCACCACCTCGTTGTCGAGCAGGGTTTGGTGCTCTTCTGGGCCAAAAGTGCAAGCCTCATGCCCAATGTTGATTCTGACTTCAGACCAGAACCATCCAACCTTTTGTGACAGGACGTCACCATAAGGTACCTTGTAGATCCGTGTGATGCTCACGGCGTGGATGTGTCAACTCTTGCGACAATTGTGCGCAGATGGCCCGTATTCCACCGTAATCCACCGTCGTGAATCATCCACGCCCACAGGTCTTTTTGGCCTCACCCGCTAGCTTCAGGGGGTCACCCGCGGGTGTATCAGGTCTGACGGTCACCCCCTTTTCAAGTTCAAAACAAAAAATCACAGGCACAACCAATTGGGCCATTGTGCCCCTACTTCACAGGGAAAGACAAGAAACCACTGGGTAGAATGTGACATCGATCAGTGCGAAAGCTTGACATACTGGTAGGGATGTGCAATCTGGAGGTCCAAGCTATCCATCGCAGTACGGCAACAACGAAGAGTGCACCTTGCAGCTGGGAACTCGAGCGCAAGGTGGTGTACTTCAGGTGAAGCACTTCGAAACAGAGAGTAACTACGACATCCTTATTGTGGACGGCCCAGACGGAGTTTTCAGCTTCAGTGGCCAAACAGGCCGTCCAAGTAGTCGGTGAAAAGCACTTGAGGGAAGTGAAAGGCCTGCTGGGCACACGTGGCCCATCGTGGCGCCAATAAACCACCTCTCCATATCTCAAGTACACAACCATCTATATAGGATCATCTAGGCATTGCAACGTTCTTTTATTGGGGGTTTGATTTTTGCCACCGCCGTCCTCCTTCCAAATGTGTTCGCCGTTCGTCCTTTGCCTTGTTTATGGGCCACCGGCCTTCTCGAGAACACCTGGTCCGTCTTGATCCACCGTAGCAGGTCCTCAAGCACTGGAAGTTGGAACTGGGCTGGAGATGAGTTGGGTCTCAGATCATTCCATCACGAAATCGGGCTGGGAAATCTGCGTGATTTATCCAGAACCGTGGCTGAAGCATGCTGAAGCAGCATATTGCCCAGTGGTCGGTTGGCTGTTAAGTGGGCGCACAAGATCCACTGGTCTAAGGAGTTGTCTTCAACAACCACCATGACTGAAACGCTCGCGGCTTATTGTTGGTTGTGTACGGTACACGAGATCAGTGTGCAGCTTGTGCTGAGGTCGTCCTCCAAAACAACTATATCAACCTCCATCACTACGAGGACCGCTTGGTGTAACTCCAGATGGCTCCGAATTGCGGAGCAAATGCAACAGTCAATGAGACGGGTTGTCAAAAGTCAAGCATTCAACTTTGGAGGACAATCACTTCCAGTACTACAGTGGCGTCCAGATCTCAGATGTGGAGGATTTCAGCCAGCAATTCTGCATAGTTCGACCCTAGTCTTGTTTCCAGCTGTGGACGTTTCAAGGCCTGAGCGGTCGATGCATGGGCAGCTTTTGCTCACAGTCGCAGACGCTGCAGCTGCCCAAGATGCCTTTGAAACGTCGGCAGGTGCTGAGGCATTGCGGCAGGGCCTTGCGGCGCCATTCCCGGAGTTGAATGCAGACACCAGGATGCAGCTGGGATGGCTTGCGGCAACTTGGACCCCCACCCGGAAGAACATTGAACCCCCCAATCAGCCAAGGACAATGTCATGCTGCTAGGCACGGCTTTGGCTTCTGCTCGCCGCCTTGCAAGCTCTGGCGTTGTGGTGGTGGACTATTTGCTCACAGTGGCAAGTGGAGCCGTCACTTGGAGAGTTTGAGTGAGTGGACGAATCTTTAGTCTATTCAGGACATAGGCTGCAAGTCCCAAAGCTAAGGCCTTGGACCACTCGTGACTTGTCTCGATTGCAGTCATGAGGGCGATCTTAAAGTTTCGGATAAAGCAGTCGGCTTTGGCGTTGGAAGGACTTGAGTCTTTAGGCTATTGTCTTCCTCTTCGGCAGCCTTGACCCAGAGTATCAACCAGGCCTTGAGCGACAGAAGCATAGCAGTCACCGTCAGCAATGTCCAGAACGCACCTTGGACGACAAGGCCTGGCTAGATTCGGACCAGTAGGACGAATAGGAGCACTGGAGAGGAACTTTCCTGCCGAAATCTGAGGTTCAATTAACAACAGTGACCACGAGCACTGTGCCCCCGGGCCGCAGTCATATCCCTTGGGAGCGTGTTTGTAGGTAGACTATAAACAAATCCGTCCGATCGGTGAAATTACTTGAGGACGTCAACAATGACATCTACGACTTCACAAACTGCCACATTCACTACTGCCACCCTCAGCACAACCAATACGCCTGTAAACTGCCAGCTGTCAGATTGGTCAGAATGGGGCAAGTGCAACCGGCCTTGCAATGGTGGCAACCAGACACGAACACGCACTGTTGCAGTAGCTGAGCAATTTGGCGGCACAGCCTGTGCTGGAGACATCTATGACGAAGTGAGCTGCAACACAGATGAGTGCTCCGAGTGTATACCAGGCAGGTGAGAGAGGATTTTCAAGGATTCAGTCCATTATAGTATATGATATGCGGACCCAATTTTTCTACTGGCCTCCTGTTTGGTGCGTGGAAATAACAAATACAAGGGACGCAAACCCATGTTTGCAAACAGATTCAACAGCTGTTTTGGATCCCAGCCAGGGTATCATCTGGTCTTCATCTCCAGTCAGGAGGCTGCCTGCCTCCCGTGCGAACGTGGCCGGTACAATCCGGTTGCAAGTGCCGATAGCTCCGGAGCCTGCAAACTCTGCCCCAGGGGAGATGCTTGTTTGAGCTTTCGCTAGCTGCTGCTTTTGTCACTTAGTGTAGTTGGCTGTTTTTTTTTAAAGCAACGACCACTTGTATCCGGTTTCGTCAGGAAGAAAGCTTGGAGGGTGCCACGATGTGTTCACCCTGCTCTCTCGGCTCCGGTGGCACCGTCCAGCTGAGCTCTGTGGCCTCCGCCAGCTCTGCCGAGCTCCAGAACTTCCAGCGGGTCGATGGTGTTGTGGAGCTCGTCGCAGGGAGCGCAGGGAGCTTGACCTTTCAGGCGGCCTGCGCCAGCCCACGGAGCTTCACCATGACGGTGGAGGCCACTATCCGAGATCGTGCTGTCAATTGACGCCCCCAAAAACGACACAGGGGGGGGACAGACTGAAATGTACGGACCTCAATCTGTCCAGATTCATAAAGATTCAATCTATATACCCGTGGGGCAGGTTTGGCTGCCCTCCGCGGAGTCTCTAGTTTTGGAGCTCCAAGTGGGTGGTGGAGCGCCGGTGGCGTGGAGCTTCGGCACTACTGCGAGCACATGGCAGACCACTGATGCATCCCCTCAGCTGAGCTTCCAGGAAGGTGAGTCTCTAATCAGACTGTGGGCTTCTGCATCCGGCTTACGAATCAGGCTGGAGGACTCTGAGGACTCAGCTGGACTTGGATTGGCATGTCTTTCTCCGGTGCAGCGCTTCCCTCCCCACCCAAACTGCAGACCATATACATGCCACAAGTCGGTTTGTGGCTGGACAGGTCACTTTCCATGCAGTTTCAGAACATGGGAGACGAGTGTGGCTTCTTTCCCGATGAGGAGGTCTGGACATGTGCCAGATGTGATCCAGGGTACTATGCAGGAACAGTGGGTCTGAGGGCGCGCCTTGGAGTCTGAGTGTTTGAATTATAACTTTCGTCATGCCAGATGTCTCCCAGAAACAAACCTCTCAACCAAAACCGCAAATGGCCTTTTGACGCCAAGGTGCGAGACCTGCGAGCCTGGAGGCTACAGCAGCCTTCCTGGAAGCTCTCGGTGCGAGACCTGCAAACCTGGTTCCTACAGCAATAGGTTGGGCACAGAGGCCTGTCAGGGCTCTCACAAGAAAGCGTAGTTTGCCAGGTCTGGGGCCACTGCCTTCGATGTGTGCGAAGAATGTCCCATGGGGTTCTTCAGCAACCGCAGTGGCATGAGTGCTTGCGAGCCCTGCGTAGCTGGGAGCTTCTACAACCAATCTGGTGCCAGCAGTGGTGCCGGACTAAGTTGGGATCGCACAAGACTCGCATGACACAGACAGAGTCTGTTTAGAACAGCTCTTTTTTGCGGCCAAGCAGGGAGACAATGCCACAGAGTGGTTGCCTTGTCACACTGTGCTCGTGGCCAAACGGACTTGACCATTTAGTGTCTCATCCTTTTCGCTTATATGCAGCTTTCTCGCCTGTGTGCTGTTCCCACATCGACACACTTAGACCCATGCTCGCAAGAGCTCTATCAGTTTTGAACTCCGGTGCATTAGCCCTTCAGATGAATACTTAGCGCTTGACTTGCAGAACGGCAAGAGTGATGAGCCAGCGGAACAGAATGTTTCAGCAAAACGCTTTTAGCCCTTTAGAGGTGATTCAACATTGGTGCAGGTACGCGACTTTGGCGTCCCAAAGTCGTTTCACAACACGATGGAAAGGCCTTCGTTGGGCAATGCCTTCCGAAGTGTTCATTGCCCCCCTGCAGGCGTATTCAAAGTAGAGTCTAGAAAGGAATTTAGCTAAATATGGCGGAGGTCCTTGGAGACAGGACTTGACACACACACACACATTGAAGTGCGTACGGATCTGAATGCCACATGCCACACGCCCACCTAGGTATGACCGCCTAAGGGTTCAGGTAGATATATACAGTCAAGGAGGGGTGTTCTTTCAAGAGGCCTCCAAAGCTCCAAACACAGAAGTCGAGAGCGAGAACCGGCGACAAGGTGACGACGTCCGTGCACATCTGCAGAATGCATTAGCCCTTATGTGAAAATTGGAGCAACAGCTTGAGAGCACCACACATACCGCAGGTACGTCGGAGTGATCAGCTCCGATATCCCCCCAACTCACACACACAAAAAGACCATCACTTGCACACAACATAGTTCCATCAGCGCCCTCCCCAATAGGGGAGGCGAGAAGCACCAAGGTCAGGGCAAATGTGTGAGTGTGCGCGCAGTAAGACAAAAACGAAGACATGAAAAGGAGACGAACCGGGAGAAAGATGTGTGTGGTTGCAATGAAAAGGAACCAAGTGCACAGGAACAACCGATGACAACCCACCTCATTGTAAAGACCTGGGCGACCTGAAACCTGAGTGGAAAGTAGGTTGTGCAGGGCCGAGCCGTGTGTACGCAAACAAAGGAAAGAGATGAGATGACAGGACCTGAAGCAAGGGAAGACATGAAAGAAAAGAAGAGAAGAGAATGAAGGTGTGTGAAGGGGAAGCACGATGAAAACAGGGAAAACCCAACGAAGGGGACAGAAGCCGATGATAGCCAAACCTCATTGAGAACCTGTTGCAAAAACATTGTTTGAATGTAAGTACACTGTGCATGAGGAAGGGAGGGGTAGGGAGAGAAGAGAGCGAAGAAGGAGAAGGCGACGGTGTTCCCAGATACGACACAAGCGTCCAAGGACACACCAAGAAAGGAGGAAAGGGTTCCCCGCTATGACGAAAACATCCAGGGACACCCAAGCAAGAAGGAAGGGGAAAGAAAGGAAAGAGGAGGAAAGAACAGGAAGTGGACAGGTGTTCCCAGCTCGAGCAAGCGTCCAGAGACACACCAAGGAAGGGTTGTGCCTGAGTGTTACATTCAGGAAAACACCAAACGGCAAGGGTAGGGGGAGGAAGGGGGTTAAGGTCCCGCCAGGTTCCAATGAAACTTCAAAAATTGCTTTGGCCGCTCTGGTCACCTTGTGCCATGCCAAAGTGGCGGGCGACTTGACACCGCTGTGGTCAAAGGCGTGCCAAAATGGCGGCCAGGAGCCTACTTTGTCCGCTGCGGACTCTCTGGTCCCGGGCGCAGGAAGACAAACCCCCGTTCAACGGGTCCACAGGGGCCACTCTGCGGGGTCACCCTGGGCTCTCACGACGAGAGACACACATGTTGAAATGCATGCGGATCCGAATGCCACATGCCACACGCCCACCTAGGTATGACCGCCTAAGGTTTCAGGCAAGTACAATCAAGGATGGGTGTTCTTTCAACAGGCCTCCAAAGCTCCGAACACAGAAGTCGAGATCCAGAACCGGTGACAAGGTGACGACGTCCGTGCACATCTGCAGAATGCATGAGCCCTTAAATGAAAGTTGGAGTAACAGCTTGAGAACACCACACATATCGCAGGTACGTCGGAGTGATCAGCTCCGATATCCTCCCAACTCATGAGCAGCTTTGTTGGCAGTGGGCTCATGAGTGGGCTGCTGCCCCCTGCAATTAAAAGGGTTCAAGACCACAATCCTACAGGATCCCTGTGATTCCAAGGTCTACACACACACACACACACCCACGCATGCACACGCACACACAAAAAGACCATCACTTGCACACAACATAGTTCCATCAGCGCCCTCGTTTGTTTTCATGCGGGTTCCTTTCTGCTGACTGTCGGTAGCAAAGACTGCCACCAGGTGACCTGTGTGAGCCATGCCCACCTGGCAGCAGCAGTGAGCCGGGCTCTATATCCTGCACCGAATGTGAGATTGGACCGGTGTTTCAGTTCTGTGTGAACTTTCACCATTGGATCAAGACCATGGGAATACCAAGAACCCAAACTGCCAATGCACTTCGATCAAATGATTCGAGGACGCTTTGCTGGGATTGCTGGCGAGCTATGTTCTCCTTGCCCGGCTGGGACGGTGACTGTTTTTCCTGGTGCTACCAACTGCCTTCTGGTTGCAGAGCTGCGGAGCCTGAATTGAGTGGAATTGGAATGTGACAAGATCTCCATTGGTCCGTTGTGTTTGTGAAATCCTAGGCACTGAATGCCCTCCTGGCACCTATTCGGAGAACGGCACGGTGTGCACGGCGTGTCCAGCTGGCAGCTTCTCCATCTTAGTGGCCGCAGGCTCCCTGGAAAGTTGCGAAGCGCTGCTTGGCTTTGTGATCGGCAGCTGGGCTGTGGTTTCTTGGGCCTTGGTACCCTCATGGGTTTGTGGGACTTTGTGTCCAAAGTTCAAAGCTTGTTTGTTCAGGTGTCCTGCTGGCACGTACAGCGAGACAGAAGGAGCGGACTCGCCAACCTATTGTCTAGGCTGTGCTGCAGGAGCATTCAGTGCTCCTGGCTCGAAGTTTTGCGATGCTCAGATTGATTGATTGTCCTGTAACAGTGGTTTCCCACAGCTTGAATTTTAAATTTACACCGATCCTTCACAGGAATTCTAGCTTTCATCTCCCTGCAGACCAAGGAGATGTGCCCTCCTGGTGAAATCAGCAGCGATTCAGCTCCTTCATGCAGCCCTTGTGAGCTTGGCAGCTTTGCGGGTGTTCCGGGCATGTCAGAGTGTGAACCCTGCCCGGCAGGAACACATGGGCATCTTGGATGTCATGATCCATGTGAGGCCATTTGGTGTTCCAGAACACACGGAGCTGATACCGGGAACCCGGTATTGAGCTAGCCGCTAGCCAAGGCACAGCAATACTTCTTACTGCATGGACTGCCTTCCTGGTAGCTACAGCGAGGAGACACTCGTTAATCACACTTCAATTGCGTCATTTGCAATGGTGATTAACGCTCGCGCTCTCCCTTCATTTCATGGTCGTTCTTTTTTGTCTTCGCTCCATCGTGCCGATGTGCAGGTGAGAGGTGCCGCTGGGCCAGAGACCTGCACTCCATGCGCAGCAGGCAGCGCCAGCGCAAGCTATGGCGCCGCCTCCCAGCTGAGCTGCGAGCCATGTCGACCTGGCTTTGCAGCAGCTGCAGGCAGTGCCCTGTGTAGCGCCATGGCTGGGCGGCGGAAAAGAATTGATCTTTTCTTGATCTGGGGACTGTCTTTCTCTTGTATATATATATATATATCCTTTGAGGTGTTTGGTGTGAAAGGGTTGCAGATCACCCGCATGTGTCAGACCACCCCAATCGGTAGAGTTGCACGTCTCAATGTGAGGCTCTTTCGTGCCTTTACTGTGCAAAGTCAAGTGTCCCCCCAGGTGTTTGTGAAGCCGGTACCTACAGTACTCTTGACGCTTGCAAGCCTTGCTCTGTGGGTGAATACATGCAGTACTTTGGGCAGACGGAATGCAGACAATGCGATCCTGGTACTTTCAATGATCAGGATCAGCTGCCGACCATAGCATGTCAGGCCTGGTGCTTTCCTCTTTTCAAAGTTCGACCGGTACACCCTCACCTTGACCAGCTCACTATGTTTGACAGGGTGGAGGGTGATGTGGGATTCTGTGGGGCTTAATAGCAATGGCCTCCAACCTAGTAGCGATGGCCTCCAACCTGGAGGCGATGGCCTCCAACCTACTTGTGAGGCCTCCAATCACTTGCGACGGCCTCCAACCTACTTGCGATGGCCTCCAACCTAGTAGCAATGGCCGCTAACCTACTTGCGATGGCCTCCAAATGGCGACGGCCTCCAACCTCTTTCTAAGCTCTATTTTTTCTAGAGTTGCTTGCTTTGAGCTGAGCGCCCTGGCCCTGTGAGGCTTGTCCCATCGGCACCTTTACAAGCCTTAGTGGGGCGACCGCCATGTCCGACTGCGAACCCTGCCCCGCAGGCACTCGAGGTATAAGCGAAGGCTTGGATCAATGTGAGGCATGCCCTGCCGGTTTTGTCAGTCGCCTTGAGGGAAGCAGCATTTGCAACTTGGCACTTCCTCCACTTCATGATCTTCATCAATGGTTTGTTTGGATGCATTTCCATCCCATGTTGCATCATTTTTCCCGATGCGCCTGTGCTGCCTGCATTTCTTCCAACACAGCCGAGGCAATGCCTGCCCCATGTCCAACACCCCACCCGGAGCTGTGGCTTGCTGCCCTGAAACTGTCGGGATTTGGGGCAGTTCTGGCTCCTTGTCATTGGCGCCTGGCAAGAGCAAGGCAGAAGTGTATTATGTTGACACTGCAGGCGAGAGTGTTGACATTTTGTTCACAACTAGCTGCTTCAATGTGTCAATGCGTTCTTTCATCCTCTATTCTTGGGAGGCAGCTGTGATACTTTGAGCGTGGAGTCTGCTGTTCTCGCCCAAGATGGCAACTCAGCTATCCAGTTGTGGTGCTTTTGACCAGAGGCTGACCTTTGACCGGGTGAATCAGGCCAAATTGTGTCCTCTGGCCACGCGATGCTGATAACAATGGGCCAGGAGGAGGTCTTCAGTTGTGTGGAATTGACCTGCAACGAGGTAGACAAGGCCAACGGGCTGGGCAGCATTGCATGGGGGGGGGTCGTTTTTGCAGGATTGTGCCTTTGGCCCCAGATCTTGACAGAAGTGTGACGGTCATGAGATTCACTTGCCAGCGAAGGCCTCCAATCTTGAAATGGCTGGGAATCACAGTACGGAGATACGACCGTCAGGAACGAGGAAAGAGTGATTGCTTTTTTTGAACAGGGTGCCTTCTGCCACAAAACAACTAAGCAACGGTTGCAGCAGTTCCGCACTGTTTCCTGATGACTGATGACCGAACCAAAACGCCGAACCCTCAGACCCCTTCGGGAATGATTCATGGAAGTTGGACTTCCTCAAATCTGGATGTATTTATCTTCGGCTCGCTGTGACCGTGACCTTAGAAGTTAGAAGTGCTTCACTGTTTGGTTCTGAAACCTCGCCCAGGCTCACTGCGGTCTTCGTATTGTGCTGAATGGACGCCAGCTCTTTGGGACTGGGGAAGCTTTAGAGGTGGGGCTCAGGGCCTTGCGGGATCTCCATCGAAAAAAAAAGCAGTGGCCCATTATCAGATGTTGCCTGCATTCAACAGCTGTAGTTGTACACAATGTATGCAATAGCTACTGCTTGATTCAGCAGAAGGGAAGTGGAGCAGTTCCCATGGTTTTTCATGCTGGCCACAGAAACGATTTATGCATGCTTGGTGGAAACGCATGGCAGAGCTGAAGCGTTGAGCGTTTAGAACTGTTGAGGTGCAGGCGCTGGTGCAGACGCAAGCAGGAAGTGAAGTCTGTGAGAATGCCGCCCAGGTGGTGTTTGAAGGCACAATTCATCACAATTCTTTGATTTCCAAAGAGCCATGTATTTCACAAGCCTAACAGAAGTGGGGCTCGGCTGGTGGGGGGGATTGGCCCGACAGCACGTGCCCTTGATTGCATGTTAAAGCATTTGTGATTGCACTGTGTTTTGTGTGACCAGGGTTTGGCTGCGCGCCGAACACCCTGCAGATTTTCCTGCTGGCGCTCAGCATTGTCGTGAGTGCAACTGAGTCTTGACTGCCCCATGTTTTGTTTAAAGTGGTGTCTTTAAGGACGCTACTAGGGGCTCCTGGCCTTACTAATTACTAGGAGCAAGAAGCTATTACGAACAAAGGGCCGCGCTACTAGGAGCAAGGACGCTATAGCAAACTTGAGCAAACTCAGCCAGACAGTGAGTAAGCTGTGGTTACTTACGGCCCTAGTTGTTGGTGCGAAAGCTGGGCTTGACAAGGTGCTTTTGGGCCTGATTTTTGAGCTTGTGGGACACTGTCGCAACTCGGAGCAGTAGTCTTATTTGGCTGCCTTGTAAAGTCCTATGAAAGTGCAATCCGGAGAACAAAACCTGGCGGTTTATACTTCGCTTGTTTCTGTCTCTCTGAGAGAAGAACCTACCAAGAGTATTGCACCATATTGCACCTACTTTCTGGACTTAGGGGTGCTTATCCTGGTGGAGTGCAGCTTCAGCATCAAGCTCCCAACCATGTGGGCAACTCACACCTCATCAGCGGTTGTCGACTTTGCAGATGATAGCTCAGCGCCCGCCGCGCCTGCTGCCCTGGCCGTGCCTGCAGCGTCCGCAGCTCCTACTTTTGATGTTTGTCCTGAGAGATCACCAAGCCGTCCAAGGACGCGGACGTGTTGAACAGTTCAAAACATTGATCATTTGCGAGCATGGAGGTCGTGGCGGCATGTCGTGTCAGTCCTATATATATATATGTTTACAGAGCGGGGCAAGGGGCTAGCACGGAGATCCTCGCACATTTGTTCAGGAGGCTTTCGGACAAGGAGTCGGAGGTTGTGGTAGCAGATGAGAAGCGTTTGGTGGACTTGGTCAAGGGTCCAAGCTTTGTGGAAGATCCAGAGGCAGGAGTTTTCAATAGTGGCGGGAGATGTGGCGTGTGATGACTGTGCTTTTGCCAGGAAGATGTAGTGAAGATAGGGTGGGATGATGCTGCTTGTCTCAACAGAGAATAATTTGCCCAGCTTTGTGGGCTAAGTACGGGGCATCCCAGATGCCAAAGAGGTAAGAAGGGTGACAACTTTTGCTTCTACAAGATCGCTGAGCAATATAGGACAGTAGGATAAGCTGGATAAGCTTAACCATGAGGGCAGTAGAGAAAGACATCATTTTTTGGGTAGAAACAGTTGGCATGTCACCAGCTGAGCCACTCAGTCGAGGATGTGGTTGGAGATGGCGGTGCTGTTGGAGCCCCTCGTCGTTCTGAGAAGGGAATCTCCCCACCCTACGGCGTTTTGGAAAACACACTTTGTGGTCCAGTGGACGTGCCCCATACTGTGAGCATGTTCATCCATGCCGGAATAAAGGATGGACATCTTGTCTAACCGTAAGCTTGTACAGTGTAATTGTTGTAGCCCATGGAGCCATGCAGATGCAAGATATGTGGCTCCCCATCGATAGCATAGATGAACACTTGATGATCAACAACAATGGTGCGGGATTTATTCGTCAACATGCCATGTGCCATGAAGGCATCTCGTGAACAAATTAGATAACTCATGGGTTCAATAATGTTTCATATTTTTCTGCAGGTGAACCCATGCATCAAGAGATCGCTGAGGCTAGAAGCTCGGTGGACCATCACGATGTTTTGCTGGAGCGGAGTGGCCTGACTCTGAAGCAGGGAAGATGGGCAGACGGAGGTGGGCCTTTTTGGAGGCACTTGGCCAAGAGAAATAGGGGATGTGTTCGATAAATTGACATCTGGCGGTGGGCCAAAACCCCGCAGACTACCAGGGAGGTCAAGCTGCAATGGTTTGGTGTTCTAAGTTTTTGAGACCCACAGCCACCTGGCGTGCTATCTACTGTAAACATTTCCTTTCCTTTCCGGATATCATGTTAGATTTCAGTAGATCACTTCATGTTCCCTTTCATGAGCTGAACACTGCGACTCAGGTGAGTTGAAGTTTGTTAGGAGCGCCTCTCATGGAGCCCAGGCGGGCAAGCTGACCATCCGGGGTCACCATGCTATTCTCCATCAGCTTTGGCCAATGGCCTTGTTCATAAAGAAGCAAACTGACAGACTTACCACCTATCGCGGCTCATTCTCTGGCCGTTCGCTGCAGGATGGGGATGAAGACGCTCTAAGCCAAAGCTCTCTAGCATGGCCGAGCCAAGCCGCCTTGAAGCAGAGTTTGCTCCAGCAGCCTCTCGGCCGTTTCGGTTTACTGTAAGAGCCAGGAAAGGCCACATGCATCCGACTGCTTCAAGCCAATGTGGAGTCGTGGATGCTGGTGTATTGTATCACGTCATTTTCAAGGCTGGACCTTGATCCGCGGCGTTTGGTTCACTTTACAGCTTGGGCTGTGAAGTCAGAGACGCAGATGCACTAAGTTTAGCTTGACAAGTACACTTGCAGGAGAGAGGTCAGACTCCAGAGCTCTCTCTCTCTCTCTATAAGAGTCATTGGCAATCCCGCCTGAAAGAACGATCAGGTCAATTTGCGCAACTGTTCTTCATAACCATTTCGGAAAGTATACATCCACAGAGGCTTCGCATTGCCTGTAAGCATTGGTTTATTGCATGCTGTGTTGCCCAAGGAGGCACCGATGCTGCAAGTCGAGTATTCAGTAAGAGTCCCGAAGGCACGCGCCAGACAGAGTGGGCTGAACTTCTGGGTTAGCGAAACGTAAGGGTCCATGAGCAAATTCTGATGTTCAGGGGCAGCATTTGGAACTCCGCCAGCAGCTTAGTCGCTGCAAGTGGCAGATGGCTCCTACCTTGCCGGCGCCCTGGAACCAGGCCAACCAGAGAGTGACTTGTTGCGGTTCACAGATGGGGTTAAGGCCCTCACAGGCTTTCCAGATCTCAGGTCAGCCTTTTAAACGTATTTCTTCAGGTGGCGATATGCAGCGTCCAACTCCAATGGTTCATCTCGCAAACAGCATGCATGCATCCTAAGATCTTGGCAAGCAAGCTCCAATGGTATTCAAAAATGTTGGTAAGCGGGCGCAACTCACCGGGTTCGGGCTCTCAAGGTCCCGATGCAAAAGTCGTAGTTCGAATGCCGCGGTCACACGGACCTTTTCCAGTTGCCATTGGCGTCGAAAGGCTAGCGCCCCACCACTTTGGTTTGAGGCGGCAGGGTGACAAATGGTCATGTCAAGTACCCTCATGGATGTGCGGCGCACATTTCACACGGGTGAAAAAGAGGGTCAGTGCAAAGAAAAGTTCAAATTAAAGCTTCCTTGCTACCATGGGGTGTCTGAAGCGGCCGAAGTGCCTGTGAGGTCACCGTTCGTGTTCTCTGTCCAGTGTGTGGCACCAAGTGTGGCCTTTGGGGTGCACTCTTCCAAGAACGTGTGAGAGCACGCTTTGCATGGTTGCCTCTCATAGACCAAGTTCGCTGTGCGCCCAGCGACACATTTCCGGCTTGCATGCCAGCATCCACCCATGGCTGCCAAATAGATTGGCTTCAAAGAAGCGTTCTGCTTTGCAACCTTCATCTTCTGGTTGAGGGTCTCCTCACACTCTTCTAAAATCTTCTGGTTCATCCGCTGCAAGACTTGTACTTGATGGCGGCGATCCTGATAGTTCCCCTCGGCAAGGGCCCACTCATCACGAAAATGGGCCACTTCTTCCAGCAACTTCACCTTGTCTTTTCGAAGCTCCACGAGTCGCTGTTCCTCCAGACCTGTGCGATCGGTCTGCACAGAGCACTCTCTGGTACTCTTCGGTGGAGAACTCTTTGTTGTCCAGCTGATGGATGTAGTGCCAAAGCATCTCATTGCACCTTTGTTGGGACAGAGATTGAGGTCCCACGTGACAAAGCTCAAGAGCGATGAGACCTTTCAAGCCTCCAAGAAGAAGAACATCTCAAGCCGCAAGAAGGGCGAAAATATGTACGCCATCAAGAGACCGGAACGGGCATTATATGCCATGTTTGCCAACTACTTCCTGAACGGGGTCAACGCCCATGAGACAGAGAAGGGTGGCAATGGGACAACGAGGGAGCACTACATCCCTGAGGGTTATGACATGTTTGACTTCATGTTTTTGATCTTCTTCACGATGCTCCTGGGCATCCTGGTTTGGCTGGGCAGCAGCATCTTTTGTCAGGCCATCGGCATACTGAAGTTCTGACGACACCCACATAACCTTGCCATTGCAGCAAGCCAGCTTGTCTCTGCAAACCAGGGCCTCAATCGTCGTGCGCTTATCTGCTCCAGTTGCTGCCTGAATCTCCTCCTTGACCAAAATGTCATAGAGGGCCTTGGCGTCCACAATCAACTTGGGGCTGTTTGCCAAGTGTCCAGTTTCAACACTGTCTAGGGGCAGCAATGCTCTGAAGATCATGTTCCAAAACAGGGAGGTGTACATCAGGCTGTTTGCTGCTTCACTGGCGGCTTGAGACTCTGCGGACAGGGTGCTGCGAGCCACTCTTGGCAATTTCCAGCTGCGCCAATCGAGGACGTTGTAGTGCCCTTCACACTTTCCATCTGCAACATCTTTGTGGCACATAGCCAACATGTACCCACCTTGACTGCTCAAATCTTGTTTTGTTGCAAACGATGCGTCGCTGTAGACGACGAAAGTCATCTCATTCTTTTCTCCCAAGCGACGGTACTGCAGTCCAACGTCCGCCTACTCCTTGGCATACCGAAGGTGTTTGTTTCCCTTCTGGAGAGTTGCCACTGTTGCTCTGGATGTCTCTCCGGCCAACTGAGAAATTCCCACCTGAAGATGTGGCGAGCTCTGGGTCGCTGGCCATTGCAATCCACCAATGAGGCCACGGAGCAGGGATCTCTCCTTCTCAGTCACCGGGGTGTCAGGCATCTGAAGACGTTCCTTTGTGACAGGGATCGGCTTGACTTTGTGGATATACTCTTCTTGACCAAGGGTGCTGACTTCTGCACGTTGGCAATCAATTTGGCTGCCACAGTATTCAAGTTTATCACCATCTTGTCATTCCCGAAAAGTGAAGACTTCTTGTAGCTTCTTCTTGGTTTCGGTGAAGATCGGATCATGTGGGTTGCCACATCCAACCAAATCATCAACATGGATCCCAAAAATGCCGGCCAGCTCACGTTCCACATTGGGGTCCAGTGGTGTTCCTTCTGGCCAGGGCTTGTAGACCATGAAGAGACATGGGTCAAGGGGATGGCGTAGAATGTTGCCATCACCAACCTTGAGGATGCGCTCTGAGGCCTCTTCGTACCATGCTCGTGGCGCATCACATAAACCATACATTGGTTTCACCAACTTCATCAATTGAGGAGCATCTGCATCAAGGCCCAGCAGCATCTTGGCATCCTTTGGGAGCTTGATCCAAATCACACGATCAGATCCTTCCGCAAAGTTCTTGCCTTGAAGGAAAGCTGTTGTGATGTCCGACGTGAACATCTTCCAGGAGTAGAGCTGGCAAATGCTCAAGATCATGCCTCTAGCCAGTCTTGTCAATGTTGGTGCATTTGTCGTCAGTGCACCAGACAGGGCATCGGGGTCTTTGAACCCTTGGGTGATGAGTCGAGCTTTTGCCCTTGGTGTGCCATCTTCATTCTTCTTCCAAGTCAGGATGAAGTGAGCCTTCAGCACCCTGGAGGGATCTGCATTGTTCTCGTGGTCATAGAGCCAGACTTCATTCTTGAAGAAGCTGTCCAGTTCTTTGATCTTGGCTTTCATGAAGGCTTGTCGATCGGAGATGGACATATGGCGCTCATAGGCCATGGGCTGATCTCCTGAGGCTCTCATGGACTTGTAGCCTCCACTGGCTTTCTTATAGTCTTCTTGAGCTTTGCCCTCCAGTTGGGCTTCAATTTGAACTTTGTCTGTCCAGTCCAGCAGGCCTCCTCGATGAGATGGTTCACACTATGGCGCTTCCATCTATCCTTGAAGGTGCCATGCGAAGTCGCCGTCACTCTATCCTTGGCGAGGTAGTTGAGGTCAATTGGGCAAGTGTCCTCGGCCGGCTTGAAGGCTCCCTTCCTTGGCACATAGTGGTTTCTGATGAGCCAATTTCCTTCCAAAGTCCACTCATCCGTGGGGGCATCAAGGCACAGCCATCCATTCTCAACATGCCAACCTGGGGGCAGGTCTGTGATCTTCTCGATGTCGATGTCTATCTGCATGTTGAGATCCTCTTGTGTTGGATGGTCATAAAGGTGTAGTCCTTGATGATTCTGATCGGATGGGGCCATACTCCATGGGCTTGTACAGGAAGGAGAGGGTCTCTTGTCTATCCACTCTTGCCCTCTGTGTCTGAAAGCTCTCTGCGGGTTGTGCTTCATAGAGTCTTCTCTGGTGCAGGATTGCTCTCAGCAATCGGTGGATTGTCTTGAGGCGGTTGTTGTGGACTCTGTCCCTCTGCACCATCTCCCAAGTTAGGTGTAGCACCTCCTTGGCCGCCACTTCCTCCTTGAGGTTGTGCGTCACCGTTGGTCGGTGGAGGTTCATCTTGAGGTTCTTCCGGCTCTGGTGGTGCGTCAGTATCGCCAAAGATCTCAACCAGGACATCGGAATCATCATCCATTTGATCCTCGATCACGAAAGTCGAAGCGATCGGCTGGCACCTCGGAGTTGTTCTCTGGAACATAGAGCTCTCTTCTTGGCACATTATGGATCCTTGTCCATGTCTTGCGGTCATCCGAGATCTCCCAGGTGTCTCTGAGGCCAGGGTGTTCATCATCTCCAGCAGGGAGTTCTTCATCATCGAACTCTTCATCTTCTTCATCACTTGAAACCTCATGGCGCTGACGCTTGTTGATCCGTGTCAGGTCCCTGTAGAGCGTCGTGCCTCGGCTTCTCACACCTTGGAGAGCTTGTTGTGCTCGATAGAAGGGGTCATCGTCAGCAGGTTTGGGAACATCCTGTTCCGGCACCGGTCGTAGATGTTCTGGTGCTGCCCTTAGTGGGTTGGTCCCATGCATCACCCAGTAGATCGTTGTGTGTGGGCCGCTCTCCAACTGCTCAACCATCACGACTCTGGCAGGTCCTCTCCAGCGTAGTTTTGGGCCGATGCCTCCTGGTCCATCGCGGTAGTAGTAGCACATGTCACCAAGCTGGAACACGGTCAACTGCCCCGTGAACTTTCGGTTGAGAGCTCGTCGTAGGCGAACATCAACATCTGCTGAGAAGACTGCATTTGCTGCCTTCTTCTGTCGTTGGAGCTTCTGCAGGAACTCGTCCGATGGGTCCAGGCTCGGCAGCTCAAGGGGTTCTTCCGTCAGCAGTCCTGGGACACGAGGTGTGTAGCCAAGAACCCACTGCACAGGGCTGTACCCGCGAACATTCGTCCCCCGGTTGATCTGAGGAATGACATAGCATAGGGCCCGAATCAACCGCTCTCGTGGTTCATAAGGTTGGAGGACATCTCCTTGTTCCTGATCGGCCACGTACAGCTCAATTGCTCTTCTTGTCACTTGGCGCCTCTCCAAGATTGCCAGTCTTGTGTGACTCTGTCCGGGAGAGATCTGGAGTTGGATTCCATTCTCGGAGCACCAGGATTTGACATAGTCTGAAGACCAGCTCCGATGATCATCAACTTGCAAGATCTTCATTGGGCCAAAGGTGCGAATCCAGCCACGCTCAAGTGCCAGCACAAACTCCTCGGGAGATTCCCGTTGCAAGACTCTGCCTCCGAGAAACCGAGTTGCAGCATCGCTGATCATCATGACTGGCAAAGCTCGTTTTGCAGGAGGCATCTTGATCCACAAGGTATCCGACTGCACCCAGTGTTGAACTCTTGGGCATTGGGGACCGAGGAGACTGGCACTTGTGGTCGTCGTTGATGTTGAGCGCACACTGCGCAATCATGGACCTTTGCCTGGTTGATCAGGCTTTCATGGGCCCCCTTCATGGTAAGCAGTCGGCATAGCTCTGCATTCGTAGGATGCCCCAGGTTCCGATGAAGACGGCTGATCGTCCTCTTTGCCTGTTGGCTGTCAGCCGCAACTTGTAGGCGCTGAAGTACCCCAGTCTGTTGTTGACCTCCTCGAGGACCATCTGTAGATGGAGCATCTCCTCGAGGTGTAGTTTGTGCAGAGTTTTGATTGGGCTCATCATCACGATGGTGGTCAGCAATGGTTGGGGTGTACTCCTCATCATGTCATATTCACCAGTCGCCATGCCCAGCTCCTCAGGCTCATAGTAGAGGAGGTCGATAGCCTCTCCAATCCAGTAGCAGAAAGTCTGCTGATAGGCCCCTGCTGCTTTGGTCAGTGAGCCAACTCCTGGTAGGGATCCTTCGAGTTGGAGATGTGTGTGATCTCCAGGGCATCTCCATGCTAGCATGTCAACCATCGAGGGGCTTGTCAACTGCAAGCGAGTTGGCTTCTTGATGTACTCACCTGCAATCTTTGTCTCATAGACGCACTGGTCGAGTCGGCATGGCCATCCTGGTAGATTGCTCCAGGTTTGTGTGTCCCATGCCTTAGACCATGCAGGGTGCTCGATCCCAGCATCTCTTCCTTCGTTGTACTGGATGACAAAGGTTCTCTCGGCCAGCTTCAGATGCACTGCTTCTTCATAGTCTCGTTCACACTGCAGAGCGAAGGTTTGTTCCTGTGTGAGCATGTTCAGTGCTTGCATCTTGGACCACTTCTTGCATGCCGGGGCAATCCACACAAAGTCCGGGGCAATGTCCTCAAGAAGCTTGAAGTAGGAGTTGCGATGGTCAGGGTAGTCAAAGTCCCAGCCCGTGTTGATGTCGAAGCTGAAGACTGTATAGCCTCTGCGCTGCATCTCCATCGAAAGACCAGCTTCTCCAGAGTATACTTCCCAAAAGACTTTCGCACCTTGCTCATGTGCTCGAAGGCCCTGCTCGAGGACAGTTCGTCTGTGAGCGAACATTGTGGCATGGTGCAGACGGATGCCTCTGAGCAGCTTATCCGTGATCTCCTTCCTCACTGCTGCAACCTCCTCTTCATCGTGTGGTGCTACAGGGCGATCTTCAACTGCTTCGGCATCAGTGACATTCTCCTCATCAGCCTGCAGGCAGTGCTCTGGTGGGTCTCTGCCTGTCGCCTCCAGGTACTGGAGCAAGGTGTAGGTTGAGGAATGCATCACTCCTGTCCTCTGAACCCTCTCGTAGGTCTCGGTGGTGACCAGGTCGAAGAAGACATTCTCGCCCTTCGGATCGGCATGTACTCCATCATCCAGTCGAAGCAAGTATTCTCCTCTCTCTCCACGAACGGCAGACTGCCATTCAGCACCCCCATACTTGATGAGGTCTTGGTCCCAGTCCACCTTCACCTTGAGCGACTTTAGGATGGGCCTTCCAACAAGGAGAGGGGTAGCACCGTCCAGCAGGAAGCATTCGATGAGGCCGGAAACTCCATTGACGTACACCGGCAGGCGAACAGTCCACTCGGCCTTGCGCATCGCACCGCCTCCAAAACCAAAGAGCTTGGTGGTCGGGTGGAAGGTGTAGCGCTCCAAAGGCACTCCCTTATCATACATGTACTCGATGATGTTCACCAGCGTCTGGTGGCCGCAGACCATGCTGCTCGCTCCTCCATCTTGAAGGCCAAACCAGCCTCGCTCAGACAACATGGGGGTCCCCTTCTGGTTGAGGTCGTGCATCATGAAAGCTTGCCCAGTGCTCTTAGTGGCAGTCTCCGTTTTCGCACGCTTGGGGGACTGTGAACCCTTGTTCTGAGGGCAATCGGCAGCTGCATGTTCATATCGGCCACACTTGAAACACTGCGTGGAGTCCAGGGCTGTTCTTCCACGCTGAAGAGCTGTCCCCTTTTGTGGAGGTGACTTGCCCTTGCTCTTGCCCTTCTTTCCTTTTCCTCCCTTGCTGATGGGTCGCTGCGTGGTAGCTGAGGAACTTGATGAACCTGGAAGGTCTGCTGTGCCGGTCAAGGCCACGACGGGATAGTAGCCTCGTGCAGCTTTGAGACTGGCAAACTGTCTCCTTGCGTCCAGGTACGTGGCGTAGGCTTCCTCCAGCTGTGGGTCGAAGTCATCCGTCCATGGCTCCTCCTGGTAGTAGAGCTCATCATCCGGGCTGCCATAGGTGGCCTCAGGGTCCTCATACTCTTCAAAGGCCTGCTCATCCTCGTAGAGCTCGTCCTCCAAGAGGTATGCATCCTCGTACTCCTCGGTGTCCAGATCACATTCTTCAGCAGTATAGCCATGTTGAGGTTTCCTTGGATGCCATCTTTGTTGCTTCTTGATGAGGTTCTTGTTCCATCGAGGATGTGTCTCGCCTTTGGTCTTGTAATCCTGGCCGTAGAGGTAGTACATAGCCTCTTCCACCTTAGTCAGCTCCAGTGTGGCTCCCACCTGAGATTGCACCAGGTGTTTCTGTTCTTGCGTCAGGTTGCTTCTTCGGAGGAGCATCCACCCGGAGACACTGTCAGGTATTTTGACCCCGTGTTTTTCTATCTCCCTCAGCTGCTCTCTGTGTTCCGTGCAGTAAGAAAGAAGAGTTTGCTCCGACTTCCTGCTCAGCTGATAGAAAAACTTCTCCAATGCCCTTGGCATTTCGACCCGGCTGTCGTATTGGAATGCCACATCGAGTGCTTTGAGCGCTCTCTCAAAGCCGTCGGAGGCCTCGGAGACGGCCTCGACCATGTGTTCAACTTGCTTCCAGGCCGTGCCATGCAAGCTCGTGAGCAAGTTCAGTATCGCCTCCTTGTCCTTGCCTTGGATGGCAAGTTTCTTCTTGTACAGCATGATTCGCTGTCTCCACTCTCTGTAGTCCGCCACCTTGTTGTTGAAGACCGGGATGAAGGTGTCTTTCATAGTCTCGATGGTGCCACCAGCCACCGAAGAGGTAGTCGAAGGACCGCTCGTTGTAGGTCCATCACCACCTGGCATCGAAGCGCGTCCAGCGCTCCGCTACCAATGTTGGTAAGCGGGCGCAACTCACCGGGTTCGGGCTCTCAAGGTCCCGATGCAAAAGTCGTAGTTCGAATGCCGCGGTCACACGGCACCTTTTCCAGTTGCCATTGGCGTCGAAAGGCTAGCGCCCCACCACTTTGGTTTGAGGCGGCAGGGTGACAAATGGTCATGTCAAGTACCCTCATGGATGTGCGGCGCACATTTCACAAAAAAGCTAACGGCTGGGTGCAGAGAGGGTGCAGTGAATGCAGCTTCGAGAGGCACGAGTAGAGCAGCAGCCACCTGCCTTCATCAAGGCACATGCTCGAGCACCAGGCATGGATTTGTTGGATGCCTGGACCGCACAAGAGGGACCAGGACAGATGAACAAGGGTGAAAAGATGCTAAAGACTGAGTCAACTGTTTGGCTGATCATTTCCCTTTGAGCCTTTCGCCATGAGATGTTCTCCAAGCGTCTTTGATTGGTGGGCCGTTGGGGTGCGCAAGAACGTATACAAATGCCCGCTTCCAAGGATTTTGTGGAGAAATTCCTTGGGCGGTTGAGTGGCAGCACCAAGCAAGAAGAGGACCACAGAATCCGTTGGCCCCTCCCTGAATAGAGAATCTGAGTTGTATCTACCCTTTTGGATCCTTTTGGTTTTCTTATTAGTTCTTATATTCCATGCATCGGACTTTCGCGCACTTGTCCCATTCTGTGCCGGCGTTTCCACCAGCCATTTGCACAGTATTCTTGTCGCAGGATCCTCAGCAGCTTCAACAATTGCACCTTCAGGCACGAATGTGGCGGGCACGACTGATCCCTACGCATTCTTGTTTACACTTTTGTCAGCAAAGTTATGGGTAATTCCCCAGATAGCGAAGCTATGGGGTTCTTACTTCAAATAACAGTGAGTTGCCCGTGCGCGCTTTCGAGACGACAGGTTGCTGGCGCCGGTGCTGGTGCTGGGTGCCGGGTGCCGGTGCTGTTGCTGTGAGCTGAGTGTGGACGTGGTGGAGACAGGTTGCTGGTGCTGGTGCCGGGCGCCGGTGCTGGTGCTGGGTGCTGGGTGCCGGTGCTGTGAGCTGGCTGTGCGCGTGGTGGAGGCAGGGTGCCGGGTGCTGGGTGCCGGTATACCGGTGCTTGGTGCTGGTGCCCACTTCTGACAGTGAAGTGATAACAACCGCTGCTTCTGACAGTGAAGGGTAACAAACCGCCGCTTGCGGCAGTGAAGGGCGACCAAGCGCCGCTTCTGACAATGAAGTGCCAGCAGTCATGGGCCGCATGAACCTATGCACGCAACATCATACGTTGTTGTCGCTTGAGCGTGGCCGGGCTTTGCCGTTTGTGCCCATACTTTTTTGCGCATAAACTTATACGCGCAAGATCATACGGCCTTATCGTTTTGCAGATCGTTGCTTCAAGCATGCTACAAAGTCAATAGTGGCGCTGGATACTGCTTGGCCTTGGGCCAATGGCACCTACGGGCTTTGCTGTTTGCGCGCATACTTTTGTGCGCGTAAACCTTTACGCGCAAGATCATACGTTGTTATTCACCAAATAGGGATAGCTATGGGGTTCTGGCTGCAAACAAAGAAGGAGCTGGCTGCGCGCGCTTTGTAGAGTTAAGGGCGTCGGTGCTGGCGCTGGCTGGTGTTGTGGTCCTGGGTGAGCTGGCTGAGCGCGCGTTTAAGACCGGGTGCTGGCGCCGCTGCCGGTGTTGTCAGCTGGCAAAGCGCACCGGTGCTGGTGTCAGCTGATTGTGCGCGCTGTGGAGGCGCCGCAAGCTGGCTGTGCAGGCTGCGTACATTCTTGTTCCAGCCAGTCGCATGTCAACAGGTCGTGGGATTTTGCCCAGCTATCTGGGTCTATGCTGTTGTATTTTTTGCAAGGAGGATTGATTGGCGAGAAATGAATATATAGTCATGTGACCCCTCTGCCAGCGAAGCCAGGTGGCCCGGCAATTGTTGCGGCGACTGACTAGCCGTAAAGCACGGCTGGTTCTCGGCCTCGCGACTGAAATCTGGTTGCTATGGTCGTTTGTTTGCTGTAGCTAGGGCGTTCAGGTGTTTCCTGATCCCATCACGACGGCCTGGTTCGACTGAGCACCGGAAGGGGCAACAATGGTTGTTTCCCCGAGAGGGCTATCAGGGCCAGCCCAATATTTCCATTCGACAATTCTCAGTGCAAGGCCTCCATCGTTGCGAGCGATGGGCCAGACCAAGGCCTCCAATATTTCTGCAATTTATGCGCGGCCGCGTTGCTGCCGATAGCAGGCTACCAAATGATGACAAGCCCCTGGACTATTGACCGAATGCCTTTTGCTGCGAGACCTGTCGCAATTGGTGTCAGCTCCGCACCTAGGTTGCGACCATGGATTTCCTTGGTATATCCATGGAGCCTGGTTCTTATACATGTGCCTCACCAATGTGACTTCATTGACACTGCTGCGAACAATCAGCGGAGAGAATCCTGGCTGAAGTGGAGTATGGACATATAACTTAAGTGTCCCTAAAAATCTAGGAACCAAATCATTAGTGCAAGCACTTCTTCAAGCTCCTCCCGCCCTTAGTTGGGGAGCTTCCTTGAAGAAGCGTGAGCTATCCTGCGTCCTAGGTAGTAGCGTACTAGTAGCTACTAGCTACCTCTCCCTTAAGTAGGGAGGGGGGAGCGGGCCAGAGTTGTTGCAGTGCTAGGCACGCAGCGTCCTTTTGCTACCAATTCCGCTGGCGTTTACTGTTTCGAGCAGTTTGCTCTTTCATCCTCCTCACTGACACGTACCAGGATGCAACGAGCCTCGTCTTGATTGTATTGTGAGGGCAGGGCATGGACGCACGTATATACAGTAAAATCTTGTCAGATTGCATGAACTCTTTCTGGGACAGTGGGCAGACCTTCGTAGTCGTCGCTCGAGCAACTGTTTTCAACTATATATTTTGATGATGTGCAGGCCTGGGACATGGCATTTCACGGTAGGCCAAGAAGCCAATCGAGTCTCACATACTTGTGTTTGCTTGACTGAGGTTTCCTGTCATTGCTAACAGGTGCAACTTTGAGCTTTGGTTTGTATCTGCTTGGCTAGTTGGCTTGGGCGTTGGCCTTATGCAAGTCGTCATGCAGCTCCTGGTCATCGCTTCCTGTTGGCGTCAGTATGAGAAAGCCACGACGCCAGAGGCACGGCTTGGAAAGCATAGCGGCATAGCAGCGCACCTTCCGCCCATTCTGCCATTGCTTTGAGGAGCGAGATCGCTTGTTAGTACAAGGTGCCTTCATTGCTTTGCGAGGCTCAGACAATTTAGCAGCCAGGCAGAACATGGCGGATCCTTAGACATATGATATATATATATAACCGCTGAAGGGTAGTTGGACCTCATCGGACTGGACTTAGGTTTTGGTCTATGCGGTGCGTCCCGCAGTGGAGGAGCGGCTTGGTGGTTCGAGCTCTTGGGCAATGCGACTTGGCGGGGTTTGTGGTGGCGTGATTGCCTGTGTGCCAGTGAAAATGCAACGGAGCGGACTTGCGGAGTGGGCCCATAACAAAAACATATGTATGATGGAGACATTGCATTTACAACTGCAAAACCTGATCACTGATGACTCGACCAAGGAAACTCTCAGAGGCGCGGATTGCACTTTTGCGCTTCGTTTTCGAAGATGTCGAGCAAAGTGCGCTACAGACGGTCTTCTTGAATCTCGGCTGAATCCGGAAAGCTATGAACTTCTGAACCCCCCGTTGGAGGTGACCGCTTCAGATCGCACCCGCCTGCATGCGCACAGGATCTTCTATGATGAGGCGGCCATCGGTGATAAGCTTTGGGTGACAGCCTCCATTTTTACATCTCTCCTCTTGTCCTTCACCATCGTTGTGCAATGCATACCAGAAGTCCGTGATTGGCTATGGTACAGGCGGGCTGGCCGGCCTAGTGCCTAATCACTAATCCCACCACTAGCGGGCGTTTCTTTTTGTGGATGAACCTTTGAGGAGGATGCATGGAAACCTCCTTTAGGGCTGTGCTGCTGCTTGCCATGATTTGGTCTGGATTTGAGACGGTCAGTCTCCATTTTTAGAAGCGCCTCTCCTTCCGCAGGGTCTTTGCGGCATTTCCTGGTGGTCGCGGGACTGGAATACAGCCTGCTTGAGAGACTTTGAGTGTCAAGATTTTGTGAGGCAAATGCAAAACAAGAACAAACTTGATTCTTTGGCAGGATTCCTTTGCTGCGGGTACTTTGGTTTATCATCATCCTCTTGCTCTATCGTTCCTTGGCAGGTCCCAGTCCCACCCGGCCCGTTCGAACAACCAAGTTGAGCAGACCAGCATCTGAATCTTGTGTATGAGAGAATATAGCTTAACACGCTTTAACACTTGGTGGACGCTCCCCTCTCCCCTCTTCACAGTTCGAGAAAGCTTGCAATATTACATCTCATTGGGCAGACGGCTAGCCACTCCAGCAAGAATCAGAGCAGCCAAGACAGACTGACACTCAAGGATGCTTGTCCACCTTTCCTTGGATTTCTGCGTGCTCTCCAAGTGGTGATCCATGCGAGACTGAAAGGGAGTGGTGGGAATTCTATTGGGGTCTCTTGGTTGTAAATGGTTCTTGGATCGTTCCTTGGTTTCCGGGCGGCCGGCGTGCAGTTACTGTAGTTGACCACCCTCAAGGTGTTGAACCTTGACCCCCAAGGTTGCGCCAATGGTCGGACCACCTTGCTTGGATTGGAAGCTCGGGTCAAGGTGGTGCAAGAGACTATCACGAACTCAACGATAGGCGGCCAATGAGTTGTCTCCAACTTTAGCTGCGTGAAAGAGCTTTGACTGCTGAAAGAAGGTGTGGTGATCATTTTGTCCACGGTGACTTTTGCCACTATAGTGCTTTGGCTGAGCGGTGCATAGAGAGCAGCAAAAGGCCCAACAAAGAAACCTCAAAATGCCATCAGGACGGCCTGTTTTTCAGCTGGCCCAACTCAGGTATGGTGGACACGTCAACGATGCCTCCAGATCTACAGATACCGGAAGATGGACAGCTTGGAGAGAGTCTTGGACTGTCGTTCTAGAACTGTCAGCATTGCCATTCAAAGATCATGACTGTTGAGTAGACTCAGTAGACCATAGCTGCTACAGCTGATGCGCTCTGAAACTCAGCTGTTTCAGGCTACAGTTATGCGAAGAGAATCCAGCCCTACCAGGATGCACCCTTGAGGCCATTGATCGACGCAGATGATGACTTGTGGCTGGACACGGCCCGACAGCTGCACATGTTATTGACCAAGCACGTTAAGGCCCCAAGGCCTGCTGCGGAGGCCGGATATCTTGGGCGAACGATTGCTTTGACAGATCTGGATCCCAGTATTTGATCTTGACTCAACCTGCATGTTGCGGCATGTGTATTTGGTTGCGCTGTTCGAAGTTGCTTCCCTATTATTTCAGGTGCGGAAGCTTCATCGATTGTTGGTGTCCCTGGAGAGCATTGATCGCAATGCCTATACAGTGAGCCGCGCTCACCTGGGTGGTTGGTCTTTGCCAGGCGCAATTGGTGGAATGACCACATGGGAAGTAGTGTTGAGAGACATCGCAATAATCCATGCAAGAAAGCTGTCCCAGGTGTGCATTGGTACATCGCCAGACAGCTTCCAAAGAAGGTCAATGCTTTCGTGGATATGGCAAATGCTGTGCAGCTATCCAATGACGCCATGACAAACGTGCCTTGAAACGCGGAGAGTCCTTCTTATGGGGTGGTCGGAAGAGTAGTTTGTACTTGCACATAGTTACAATTTTGGAACTTCGGTCTTGTGCGGGGCCACCAGGGCAAGCCACCGCACTGGCCTCAAGAAATCCTTTTGCACTTTCTCCATTCCTGTGCCGCTTTTTCAGGTTTACCTCCTTCGTACCACCGTGAACCATGCGGTGAGGGTTGCCCGTGTGCGCCGCCACGTCCACCAGCTTTTGTCCAATCGGCAGCTCAGCAGAGCGATCAGCGAACAGTGAACAGAAATAGTAATGGCCTCCAACCGAAGAGCAATGGCCTCCAAGGCGCAGAATCCAAACGCAAAAAGGCAGAAGAGCTTTGACTTGCGTGACTCTTTGATCAAGGTATTTTATCAAAGCCAGCCTGGAGAGCAAGGCCTTATGGATTTTGGAGTGTCCAGATGCGCCGCCCTTGCGCCTCCTCCATTGGTCCGAATTGACAAAGGGTGCCCTACCCAAATATCAGTGCCTTGACAAGACTAAGATGGACTTCGTGGCAAAGCCCACAACCTTTCGAGTCATGCTCAGCAGGGTGTTGATTTGCCCTTGGTTTCAGGTCGGGCGATGCAAAATCAGTGGAGAACCTCTTAGACGATATGGCGCACCGATCAGCCATTTCGCGTGAGATGGCTCAGCAGCGCCTGGTCGTTTTCTTGCTTTCACATCGTTGGCTTCGAACGAGTGGAGCTCAGTATCATCCCGACTCTGAGGAGTTTGGTGCTGATTTTGGTCTTGTCATGTCCTAGTCTTAGTAGAGCGATGCGTTCCCAACAAAGCTGGAATCCTGGGCTGTGGTGCGGATAAAGTCGAGTTCCGCAACTGCGCAGGATTCCGCAACTAGGATTCCGCAACTGTTTGGTCGGATTCCGCAACTGGGATTCCGCAACTAGGATTCCGAAACTAGGATTCCGCAACTAGGATTCCGCAACTAGGATTCCGAAACTAGGATTCCGCAACTGTCAAGATTCCGCAACTAGGATTCTGCAACTGGGATTCCGCAACTGGCGTTCCGCAACTAGGATTCCGCAACATTGTGGACTCCCTCACTAGGATTCCGCAACTTTGTGAATGATGAGTGGGTTGGCGTGATGTGGAGATCATACGATGGGGACAAGGGGGGGTTGGGGGGTGGGGGGGTTGGGTGGGGGGCTAATGACGTTGGTTTGGATGTGCTGCGAAGGCGATGTCACAGGCACACACGCTATTGCATGATGTGGAGATCACCAGTTGCAAGTTTCAGAAGGCAAGTTGCAGAATCTGACTTTCCAGTTTCAGAATCGAAGTTTCAGAATCCCAGTTTCAGAATCCTAGTTAGTTTCAGAACCCCAGTTTCAGAATACCAGTTTCAGAATCCAAGTTGCAGAACCCTAGTTTCAGAACCCCAGTTTCAGAACCCTAGTTTCAGAATCCGACCGATTAGTTTCCGAATCCGGCTCTAACCGCTGTGTGCCACACTTTGTAGAGCAGGCGAAGCCTCCAGATGGAACCCGAAATCATTTTTGCACGCATGCCTATTTCGGTGACAGTGCGAACATTACATGGGAGGACAACATCAAGGCCCAAAAGTTGGTTACCTTTGCCCGTTGGTTCATGCGCTTGGCTGCAGCAGCTGGAGTACCATGCGAAGTTGCATTCTGGATTGACTACTGCTGCTGCGAGCAGGAGTGGAATACAATCTTCAAGAGGATGCACTAGTCTAAGGCTTGTGTTTCCAATGTTTTGGTATGTCATTTCTTGGACATCACAGACTCAAAAGAGACCTGCTTAGTCTACATACAAGTCTACAGTTTGGATAGTTTGCGAAGGCCTGCTCAGAGGCTCAGATAAACCGTGCTCAATCATTCCTGCAGGAGGACCGCTTTGGCATGGACTTGGCCACAGCTGCGCTTCCCCTCTACATCGCTTGTTGCTCCAAGGTCGTGGTTTGGAGAACAGTGGATTTTGATCGGAGGTGCTGGACAATGGTAGAACGCTTGCTCTCCTATTCCTTTTGAATCTCGGATGCAACTGCAAGCATGGCTTGCGCAACACTTCTTTTTGGTCCCTTCTGACGGTCCGACGACTCCCGCATTTCAACGGCAGCTTTCGCAAGTTTGTAGGCTCTGGTGGATTGACGCCGTATGTCATTGACTCCACCTTCATCGATGGTGATGAAGATGAAGAGGATGCAGTGCCAAGGGAGGTGGAGGTCTGCTCGGTTTGGGAGGCCACAGCTCGAAGCTCGAACACCACGCAAACTCTTACCGATGCAACGCCGAGATGAGATTAGATGGCAAAAGGAAGAAGTAAGGTAGGAAAAGTGGGAGACAAACTAAGAGGAGGATCCTAAGTTGAATGAAGAGCAGGGAAGGGAGAGCTGAGAGAAATTGAGAAGGTGGATTCAGAGTGTAGATGGGAACAGCCGCAGAGATGTAGCTTCGGAGGAGAGCCAAAAGGCACAGTGAGCGATAAGAGAGATGACAACGAGGGAAAAGGGACAAACAGAGATAAACAACGACAGGTGTGAGAGGAGCAATGAGAAGAAAAGCAAGCATGTGGATAGAGCACGAGAGCGTGAGAGCCCACGAGAGCCAGAGGGAAGTAACAGTAACAACAGGTTGGACATTGGACATTTCTCCTTCGGGTTCTGCCTGTTTGGCGTCTGCGATTTGAAGTCGTATCCGTTTGTTTGTGGGCCTGCCAACTTTCACACCAATGCTTCCATGCTTGCAAAAGAATCAGCCCCTCACCAGCTCAGCACCTTCGTCAGGTTCGTTTGGACGGAGGTTGGGTGGCCTTCGATAACTATGGGCAGGCCATGTTGCACAGTGCCAAAGCAGCTGGTTTGCCACGCAGCGAGGTTTCCAGCGGAGGAAGGCGCTATGAGACTTGCGCTGCATGATACGATGACAGGTACGTTGTGACGAGAACGTGTTCAATAGCTTGACAAAAACCAAGGACATCGATTTGGTACTCATGTGCCAGAAAAACCCAGCCACTGGCAAGCAGCGCCAGATTCGTGAACGAATTCTGGGGTCTGTGGAATCTTCCGCAGGCGTAGCAGATGCTGAGCGTGGATTGAAGGTCTCAGAGAACCAGAAGCAGTTGAGATCAAGTCAGAAAACAAGCCAAGACAATGGTTTGAACATGCAAGATTCTTGGCTTGCACTTGCAAAACTTTTTTTTCGCTTCAATAGGCTGCATGCAAGGTATCATAACATCCAGTGACAATGCAAAGTGGGGTCCAATTGCATTCCCCCTGCACTTTGATATGATACCTTGGTAATGTGTGTTTGTGTGACGCAGGAAGGAACACTTCTCCAAGATGTACAGGAGGTTGGGGTGAACACTTTCGTGAAACTCCACTCCTTTCCCGTTCAGACTATAGTCGCACCTGCCAGTCGCATGGCTGCCACGTTCGGACCGTTTTCTCTTCTTCCTTCGTTCGCTCGAGGATCGCATCCAGCGGGTGCCGAAGAAGCTTCCCAACCCCTTGGATCCCGAGACCTGCCTCCTGACGCGCGAGAGCCAGCGACGTCACGTGGCCTCGCTGGTCAGCGTGGCAATGCAGGCACGCTTTGCTGCTTCGATGCTCTGACAATGGATGGAGACTGCCTGGTTTTGACAATTGGGTGTGTAGAAACAAGGGTGGACAAAAACAAAGTTGGCAGACAATAGATTGGGAAATGCTTTTGTGGCTCGGAGGTGCCTGCCTTTGAAGTCTTTGCAGACCGACAGCCAGTTGAATGGGGCCTGTCCGAGGTTATAGAGCATTCTCTAATCGATCAGGACGGGTCGAGCAAGTCGAATGAAGAACCAAGTTGTGAATTGAAGGCATTCAACGGGGAAAAGGCAATTGAGCGGGAACATGCAGACTCGGAAGGGCGCGCAAAGATGGGCAGGAGCCTCTTCCCAGGGAGGGCGTTGCCTCCGAGTGGTTGGAGCTTTGTCACGGCAGCTTTGGCCCCAATGCCCCTACCACATGCTGGTGGAAACTCCTGGTCTTGGAACCTGGGAATCGCTCTCACCCACTTGATCCACTGGCAGATTCTAAGCTGATGGCAGAGTTGGCAGATTGGCAGAAGGGAACTGATGCAGTGACCTGTGTGAAGTGATGTCAGTTGCTTGATTTCTACAGCGGCTAAGGACGTGGATGTGATTGTTTGGGTGGATCATGGGGCTACTCCAGCAGAACCTGTTCCACGCCCAGAGGAGATTGACCAACTCTTTGCTCAAGTTGATGTGACCATCGATCACGGAACCAGCGCAGAGAGGGAGGAGTGCATCAAGAAGTTTCTATGCTCCGGTTGCGCAGTATTTTAGTTGTGTCAATGTTACATAATTTGAGGCAATTTCAAAAAATTGATATTTTCATACTCTCCCCAAATCAAACGTATCCCCCTAAAGTGGATTTTTGTATGTTTTTTTGGTAACGTTAGTCGACAGATGCGCAAAGGGCACAAGTGGTGTTTGTGAGAATGATATGTTAGCAAGAGTCCGCAGGGATAAGTATTCCAAATTTACCAAAATGGAAACGGCCATGTTAGTGGATTCCGGGGAACATTGACAAGTTTCATGGTTGCCCCAGGCCAGGTTGGCAGTGTTTTTGGACCTTTTCTTGAAGCTACCGCAAAGCAAAAGTTACGTGCAATTCACCAAAACACCGGAGAGGCTAGGGATATGTTAGTTTGGGTCCTCACTGCCGCTAGGGGTACGTTTGATTTGGAGAGTGTATATTTTCGATAGGTCTATTGCATTCCGACTGTTAAACTGCTTGAAGAGCTGATGGCTTTGTTCCAGGCAAAAGATCGAATAAATGAGTTCTGAACCCTAAAGACCCATATTGTACTGTAGTTGCTACTTGCTAGCTTCCCAATCAAGCCAGCAAACATCCGTGTGGATAATCTCCTGTGAACGTTTGAGTGACACAACAAGTGAGGCTGATTCTTGCTCTCAAAGCCGATTTGACACTCGGCAAACACCCTGGCAAAGATTTTGTTGCGAGTGCGGGTTGTTCCAACGCAATTGTTTCTGCCCCTGAATTGAGGATGACCGCCATTCACAGCAATGACCACGCACAAATGGAAGCTGCTGTTCTGCGAGCACGAGAGGCCCGTGTTGGTCTTCAGATTCGGCGTATTTTTGGACGAAATGGGCAGTCTCCCTTGGAAGACGGAGCAGAATAGAGTGTAATTCCGTAAGACTTGTATTGCATCGGGCATATTGGCCGCCTTTCATGTCATTCCGTTTCACGTGTACCCACATGTTGTCGTTTGTTTTGTCATCACTTTGTGCCGCAGCAAACGCGTGCTTGGAGCTCCGATTCTCCATTATGGTCTTTCTTTGCCATTTCAGATCCCCATTTTTGAGGACACCTTCATTTGCTACTGCTACTCTCATGCTTTGCAAAAAGATGCTTTGCAAAATGATTTGTGATGAACAAACCAGATGCGCGCCTGCCCGTTGCACTTTGTCCTTCCGATGTGCATGGAATACTTGCATAGAACTTATAAATTTTGCAGATTTTTGCAGCATGCTGTTGCATGCTGCTTTTGTCTCCGTTTTGTCTCAGCTTTCGTCTCGGTCTCGTCGTGTTGAGTGTAGTTTCTTCGCCAGGTCGAGCTGCCTGCCAAGACCGAAGCCGTGTCCTGCCTGGTGACGTCCCGCTTGCTCACAGCCGCCGAGTCAGGCGTGCCAAGTTGGAACGCATTTGCACCAACCTAACAGCAAAAGGAACCTAATTAATAGACATTGCCTCCAACCTAATAGCGATGGCCTCCAACCTATATAGAAGCGGTGGCCTCCCATCTACTAGCGATGCCCTCCTGGGACGCTGGAACTGAAACTGCTGGGATTTCTGCTATGATGTCTATCACCCCCTTTGCAAGACTTCTGCAGTTTTATGATGATCAGGCAAGCTTTGCATACACGTGCCCAAATTTCCTATTGCTATAGATGATGTTTGTGTCCTGTCCTGGATGATTCCCGAGTTGTTCTGTGACACAGGCCGCTTGTCATGGAAACACGTTTGTTCCCCAATAGCCATGCTATGGGGTCTTGCAAAACTAATAGGCGGACGGGCGCCGTCGGGTCACCGTCAGAGCTGGTGGGCGGATGGTGTCCCGGTCATGTTTTGATGGCGTCCGGGTCATGTGATGCTGGTGTCCCGGTCATGTTTTGATGGTGTCCCGATCATGTTTTGATTGTGTCCCAGTCATGTTGTGATGGTGTCCCGGTCCTGTTTTGATGGTGTCCCGGTCATGTTTTGATGGTGTCCCGGTCATGTTGTGATGGTGTCCCGGTCATGTTTTGAAGGTGTCCCGGTCATGTTGTGATGGTGTCCCGGTCATGTTGTGATGGTGTCCCGGGCATGTTTTGATGGTGTCCCGGTCGTGTTGTGACGGCGTCCCGGTCATGTTTTGATGGTGTCCCGATCATGTGATGGTGGTGCGGTCATGTTGTGATGGTGTCCCGATCATGTTTTGATTGTGTCCCAGTCATGTTGTGATGGTGTCCCGGTCATGTGATGGTGTCCCGGTCATGTTGTGATGGTGTCCCGGTCATGTTTTGATGGTGTCCCGGTCGTGTGTCCCGGTCATGTTTTGATGGTGTTCGGATCATGTGATGGTGGCCCGGTCATGTTGTGATGGTGTCCCGATCATGTTTTGATTGTGTCCCAGTCATGTTGTGATGGTGTCCCGGTCCTGTTTTGATGGGTGTCCCGGTCCCTTTTTGATGGTGTCCCGGTCGTGTTGTGACGGTGTCCCGGTCATGTTTTGATGGTGTCCCGGTCCTGTTGTGATGGTGTCCTGGTCATGTTTTGGCGGTGTGCCGGTCATGTTTTGATGGTGTCCGGGTCATGTGACGGTGTCCCGGTCATGTTGTGATGGTGTCCTGGTCATCTTGTGATGGTTTTCCCGTCATGTCATGTTGGTGTCCCGGTCACCCTGTGATGGTGTCCCGGTCATGTTGAGATTGTGTCCCAGTCATGTTGTGACGGTGTCCCAGTCATGTTGTGATGGTGTCTCGCTCATGTTGTGACGGTGTCCCGGTCATGTTTTGATGGTGTCCCGGTCATGTTGTGATGGTGTCCTGGTCATGTTTTGGCGGTGTGCCGGTTATGTTTTGATGGTGTCCGGGTCATGTGACGGTGTCCCGGTCATGTTGTGATAGTGTCCCGGTCATGTTGTGATGGTGTCCCCGTCATGTCATGCTGGTGACCCGGTCACCTTGTGATGGTGTCCCGGTTATGTTGTGATGGTGTCCCAATCATGTTGTGACGGTGTCTCGGTCATGTTTTGATGGTGCCCTGGTCATTTTGTGATGGTGTCCCGGTTATGTGCTGATGGTGTCCAAGGAAGAGATGGTCGATGTGTTGAAAACAGCAGCTGTTTCCAGATTTGTTTTTTTGTCCCGGTTTGTATCTTGCTATTGGGGTCTCCAGCTGGGCTAATTTTCGAAACTGGGGACTGTTCTTGCTTCCTTGGCTTTCAATATGGCAGGCAGTGAGGCTGAGATGAGGAACGCGCTCCGCTTTGCACGTGAAAAGGGTATGGAGAAGTTGAGCGTGTACCAGGAGGCATGTGAGTTGTTTTCCAGACATTTGCTTCAACTTCCTGAGACATGAAGATAGCAATCGAATGACAACATATGACAATATATGAAGGCCTTTGTTGAAGCGACCTTATATACGTCTACAGCTTCCTTTATTTGTTTCCACGAAGCCTTGTATAGGAAAGCCACATGATTACAGGATTGCTGTATTCCAAGACGTGTCTCAGGTCTTGGCTTTGCAGCAGGGCTTGTACGGCGCGCAGTTGAAATTGCGGCTGCAACGCTTGGCTGCAGAGGAATCGGACTTTGCACAACTGGGAGCTGTACATCGAACAGCCCAGGCACATGGTCTGGAGGACGTTGCCAGGCGGGATCTCTCTGGAAGATGTTGAAGACAATGCTCAATGCACTTCATTCAGTCAAATCATTCCTGTTTGCCCGGACGCTGGTTAATTCTAGCACGGTTTGAGGCGCTTGTTGATTCAGCTTGGTAGAGCAAGGGTCGATTGAGTGATCCGGAAGTCGTGATTCGCAGCCGGTGCCCTGAAGCTTCTCCGGATCACGTCTCGGTCGATTTCTCTTTCGAAGCTGAAAATCCGAGGCAGGCGCTGGCAGCTGCAGAGATGCGCTTGCGTCAAGCCTTGGAACTGGACATGGAAGAAGCGCTGCAGAAATGTTTGCAGCTTCGAGACGAGGCGAAGGCACAGCGAATGAGCTTCTTCACTTTGGTTTGTGGCCCTTCAGTGGTGTGAAATAAGTCAATGACTGTATGGCACATTCAGAAAAGCGAGGCCTGTGGCTGGTCAGCCATGGAGCAGAGCGTGGAAGTCCAGGTCTTGCGCCTGACGATGGAGTTGGCTTTGTTGCGTTCGGAGGCAGCGCAAAGTCGCCGTTTCTTTTAAAACCACTGTTCTCGAGAAATCTATTCTATAGTGCTTCAATTGAGTCCATTTTCGTCCGGACTGGAGTCAATGGACAACTTGCTACGTTTGAATTGACCACTTGTGGCACTTTGTGAGCCGCGCCTACACCCTCAGCTCACGGACGACCTGGCCACGATCCGTGCAGTGGAGCTGCGTGCGCGACAGGAGAACTTGGATGAGCTGGCCGAACGGGCAGCAAGGCCTTGGGGTTTGTGGGATGCCAAGTCAAGGTGATTCATACTGGCCGGTTCTGTTTTGAAAGGATCCTGGCATCTATGATATTTTTTTTCTTAATCGCTTCCGCTTCCTATATAAGATGGCCACCGGCACGACCAGGAAGGTGAACGAGACAGCGCGGAAGGTTGGGGAGAAGATGGGGCTGCCTGCTGGCTGGGATGTCGTAGAGCGTATGGCCGGCACTGATGCTGCGAGGTTGCTGAAGAAGGAGCTGATGGGCGAACCTGTTCCATGCTTGCCATTGGACTTCAGAAACTTGTGCATGTGGCTAGGAACTCTCTGCGTCAAATTTGTTCGTAGACTTTGCCCAGTTGCTTTTATTTGTCAGCAGCTTCACTTGGACACAGTGCGAAGGACGAGGAGACGGAACTAGCGCTCTTGAAGAAGGTGCAGGATGGCAGCCAACAAGAAAACTTATGATAACTATCACTTGAAAGTCTTGTAGAACCGAATCCGCTGAATGGCATCCTTCAGGAGTTGGTGGATGCTACCTTCTGGGGCTGGGGTGGCCATGGGGCCAAGACCCGCACCCGTGATCGTGGCAGTGAGCCAGTGGCAAAAGCCTTGAAGGTGCCGAACTCTGTGGCAACTGCCGCGCACCATCGAAACCACAGCTTTAATCATGCTGTGAAGTCTAAAATCATTTCCATGTCCCACACTGTTGAACCACTGGAGTTTTGGAGATTCAATCCTCGAGCTAGGTCATGAGTGTCATCTATGTGCAGAATGCGGAGGCACAAAACATCAGATCTCCCTGTGTAGCACAAACTGAGTTCAGATCGAATTCGATTGAGCTTGTTTTTGTTGACGCCATGATTTTGATTGTTGACGCCATAGCCACCCTGCCAGGTCTATGTCAATTACAGAGCACGGCGTCAAGAGATTTCCGGAAGCATGACGCCAGATATCCCCACAGGGGATGCTTGGGATGTGAAGACTGCTGCGATTCCTCTAGTTGGTGGCCGGCTGAAGGACTTGGGCGGGGCGCGTGATGTCTGAGTCTATGAGCTCGGAATGGATGACTTTAGCTTCAAAGATAGGCCCCTCCATTTGGCCTGCCATCGGCAACTATTTGCGGCACGGAGAAGTGGCAATGCACATGATTACCTATTGCAGCGCATTTGACAACTTGTGGTGCTATTGCAGGCATGCTCTTGCAGTTTCATTGTTTCTATCGGTGGTTGTGTCAGAAGTTACATACGTGCAGGATAGCCCTGTGGATGCCAGCATCAATGAGTTCTACCTTTGGCATGGCTGCAAACCTGAGGGGGCAGAAGGTATCACCGACGCGAACTTCGACATAAAACGTGGCTACCTCAGCTCCAAGGGGGCAACAAACTGAGCGATGGTGTAAACTTGCAGGTGCTGGGTCAGCCTATGGATCCCTCTTTGGCCCAGGGATTTATCTGGCCGAGAGCTGCATCATGGATAAATTTAAAGAGAGGATGAAACCGGAGGAGGTATTCTTAATTTTTGCTTATTTTTGTCGTTCTATCTTCAAATCGGAGGAATCAAGAGCAACCGGGCTTTTGCCAGCTACCTGAGGCATGAAGGCGGATGAGTACACATCTCCAGATGCACGTGGCTACTTCCCGTTGCTGCTGTGTCGCGTGGCCTTGGGATTCTCAGCAGCATTGGGCAGCCTACCAGTAGCTGAGGGAATTGATATCACTTGCTGGAACACATATTTTTGGCCAGCTGAGGCAATATCAACTATTGTGATCACCCTTCGCCGGTCTCCATTGGCCCATCACTGGTTGCTTCATGCAAGGCTGGTGGAGGTTTCCATTCCGTCCTTGGCGACAGGGAGAAGGTCAACGGTACCTTTAGGGAGTTCATTGCAACTCAGCTAAGAGCTGGGGAACTCTTGTTGGTGCTGACATTTTGTGGAAATGATGCAGGTCGCTGCTGTAGAGGGGTATATGATCTCTCTATATGAAACCAATGTTCACTGTTGTGCCCTGGCGCCTGATCGAAGATCTAGCACCCAGACTTGCTGAGTTTCATGCACAGCTGCTTTTTGCCTTAGGTCTTTGACAATCACCAAGTCTATCCCGAGTATATCATTTGGTACCGGCGAGAGTTCTAAGCCGGGCAATGATGACGAGAGTATCCATTCTTGAGATGACCGCCCCCCAATTATTGATGTCCGTGTGCCTTTGATTCAACCACAAGTCCTGAACAGTGCGGCATCATCTCAAGAGTTGTTGAGGATTGCATGCCTTAGCTAGTTAGTTGTGCTCCGGGGATGCCAGATTGTGACATCCCCCGCTAGATAATGTAATTCAACCCCTTTGACTGGCCAACTTTCCCGGCATGTTCAGCGGCTGCACAGAAGGCAAGCGAAGGGTTGGTCAACGGTTGGACTTTGTATGTCCTCACCACTCCAGACACCTCAGTCTATGGTCCATGCCATCGCTCTTGTTTAGACATGGCGTGATCGTGCTACCTACGTAGCCAGGCACGCCTTGGCCACATTTTTTGTAAAGCCAGTGGTGCGCTCGCCAAGTGCTTGCTCACTAAGTGAGCAGCGCGAGAAGCTTTGCATCGACGGTGACCAAAGGTCTGAAATGTGCACCGGATCATTTGAGACTTTCAAAAAAACCTTGAGCAGCAGACAAGCAATGAGGCACCGGGGCAACACCATCCGCGAACTGAGCACACATAGGACATAGGTGATACTGCAATTGCTTCCCTGCCTGGTCCAAGTTGCACTGCAGCAGTTGGCGTGCATCTTG